TGTATCCAAATGTTTAGGATTGAGCAGGAGGCTCTGTCTGCCCTGTGGTGGAGTTGATGATGGTCATTCCCTTTTATAGACATGGCTGACTGACTGGGGAAGGCAAGATTAAATGCATTCATCTCTTACAGTGGGTTAGACTGAGCGGAATCCCCTGCATATTAGGGCTGCACGATTATGACAAAAATCATAATTGTCGATTAATCCCTTGAAATTGTAATTGCGATTATTAATTACGATTATCGCTAAAATTCAAATAATGGGAAAAACCCTTAAGATAACATGTAGAAAGAAAAAACCCCATCTTAAGCACGCAGAATAACATAAGTGGACTTTGGATGATTAATTGCTGCTTTGAAAGATTACGTAATTGTGGCATCCATAATTGTAATCGCGATTAGAAATTCGATTAATTGTGCAGCCCTACTGTATACCACATCAGAGAAAGACTTCCCAAATGCATCAAAATTCCAAACTTCCTTACAAGGTCCTACGAGTGTATTTTAAAGCAAAAGTTTAGCTGCTTTTTGTGCCATTACTGATGAGTAGCAGTGGACTACTGCTGGGGTACGTTATGGATGTCTTTAGAATGAGATGAGGTAGTGTAATAGCTAATCTATCACATGAAACTGAAGTAGTAATTATATTGTCAAAATAACTATGATACACAAGCTTATAAAATCATCAGATTATTTAAAGGGGTCATATGATGTTGCTAAAAAGAACATTATTTGGTGTAATGAAATGTTTATGTGGTTTAAGGTTCAAAAACACATTAATTATTGTTTCTCCTCTATGCCCCGTTTTTCTGGAAAGCAAAAGTTTAGCTGCTTTTTGTGCCATTACTGATGAGTAGCAGTGGACTACTGCTGGGGTACGTTATGGATGTCTTTAGAATGAGATGAGGTAGTGTAATAGCTAATCTATCACATGAAACTGAAGTAGTAATTAAATTGTCAAAATAACTATGATACACAAGCTTATAAAATCATCAGATTATTTAAAGGGGTCATATGATGTTGCTAAAAAGAACATTATTTGGTGTAATGAAATGTTTATGTGGTTTAAGGTTCAAAAACACATTAATTATTGTTTCTCCTCTATGCCCCGCTTTTCTGAAATGCGTACATTTTTACAAATCTCATCGGTCTGAAAAGCGAGGTGTGCTCTGATTGGCCAGCTATCCAGTGCATTGTGATTGGCCGAATACCTCAAGCGTGTGACGGAAATGTTACACCCCTTACCATATTGTGATGCAGTGTCTGGTCTGGAGCGAAGAGACAAAAACATTCAAACCCATTATAAACGAGGCATTTGTTGCATCCAGTGGGGACATAATTACGGATTATAATGATTTATATTGTCTTTTTACGCGTTGCGTTGCAGTGCGCCTTGTAAACATAAAACCATGTCTGCATTTGTGATCGGAGAAATGACAAACAACAAGGCTACTCTACACTGCTCAAAACTGACGTTTGAATCATCATTGGCAAATCCTTTAAATATGAAAAATGTACTGGGGGGTTCGGTGCCTTGCTCAAGGGCACCTCAGTCATGGTATTGAAGGTGGGAGAGAGCGCTGTACATTCACTCCCCCCACCTACAATTCCTGCCGGTACGAGCAGGAATTAGGCCATAACTTCCCCACGTTGTTCCCCACAATTCGCACGTTGTTGCCGAGAATCAAAGTTACGCCTTCTTTCTTTGCATGAACATTTGGGCGGTGTTATGCAAATCTTCCCACATCGTGACGTAGGCGTGGGGGCGTGTTAGAAAGAACCGTTTTAGGTAGGCGTGGTTAACTCTTAACTTTTATAAAGAATATCTCTTTGGATTTGAGACTTTAGTCTTTGCAGCTTTACAGATCTTTTTTGATTGCTGTTACACTTTTTAACTTTATGAAGGACAATATTTTCCTAACCTGATTAAATGTATGTCGCCATTTACATCAAAATCTTAAATTTAATCAATACATTAAGTTAAATTGATTATAATAAGACACTATATGGTTGTTACCATTCAAATGAAATCAGTATCAACAAACTACGTCTTTCCACTTCAGAGGAAACTGAAGCTGCATCGAAAGTGCCATAGATGTATTTACTCAAGACTGTTTAATGAAGATAAGAGAGGTTCCATAAATTAATTTGCTCAAAATTGCAAATGTTTAAATAATGTTATTAGATTAATGTTTTACTTTTTTTGACATACAAATACATACCTGTCAACTTTCCCGTTTTTCTCGGTATTCTCCCGTATTTTACCATTCTATCCCACTATCATCCCGTTTAAATATTTTCCCTTGTTTCTCCCGTATGTTTAATCTTTCTATAAAAAAATCCCTCTGGGCGTACTTTGTTTGCTACATTCGCCTCCCGCAAAACTCTCGTAATTTGTATGGCCCAAACCTCATTATACGAATAATCACGTCAACAAATTCCAAGGTTGCCCAGTTGCCAGATCTTGTATGAAACGCATCCTTCTCACACAATCGACACATACAAATTTCAACCCATTTGTCCCCACAACTTGGCAACCTACAACAGTGATGAGTACCGCGGGAAGGAAAGGATCACTGGTAGAAATGGGACGGGAGGAGAAGACTCATGTGGTGCACCGGTGAAAAAAACAAATATACATGCAAATTGAGATATAGCTTACACTTCAAAAGGCTATGGTTTAATTGATTAAATATGAGCGCTGCAAGTTTCAAAGTCAGGTGCTGCGCTGCTTTGTTTACTGCGGTTACCGGGGAAATGGCTATATTCCTGGCGTAAAGCGAAAGAATGAAGAGAGAATGATTTAGCATTTTTCAATAAGCCCTTCTGCTTTTTGTTTTAGTCCAAAGCCAAAAACGACCCTTATTTTTACGCAGAAAACACTGTTTGATATACATGCAGTTTAAATAATAGTTTGATAATAATTGTTTAAATTAATATAATAATAATATAATAATTGATACTTTTGCCCCGCCCCAAACCCAAGCACCCCCCTAAACCCTCGTGGTCTTCCTCCACACTTTCGTGACGTAATGCCGCTTTGACTGTCGTGTAGAAGTCTGCAGCGGAGTTCTCCTCAGTGCGCATCAATGGTGCGTAGCTGCCGCAAAGGGGGTGCTCACGAGCACCCTTCTGAAAGCTAAAATGACGAATGGGACACCCTACGGTCTCGTGGACTTAACAGACATGCGCACGTGGCAGCCATTGTAAGTCCACAAGAGCGCAAGTGCACATGAAGTGTGCCATTTGGGACAGGGCCTTTTTAGTTTGAGCATGCTTCAGGTGTACGCACTCAGAAAAAGCGCACGTCAGAACAACAAGTGAATGAAATGTTTAACCGGCAAGACTTTAAAGCACATGCAAATAATGTACTTTTGTGATTGCAAATATGCGCAGTGTCCCGTGAGTTAACATTTGATGTGAATGTATGTCATGTTATAGAGTATATTGAGACAGAGGCGCCAGAACTGTAACTAATAGAATGTGCGCTGCAGCATGAAACTGCAATATTTCTTAAAATGCAGATCGTGGAGACATTTTTATTGTCCACGATCAAAAATTGTGACATTGTACACCCCTGTCTGCTTCCATATCACAATAACCAAATATTGCCACCAAATGAATTGCCTTGCTGTAAAAAATATTTACATCTCTCTGGATAAAACGACAGCACAGAAGGTCGTGTTGGCTGAAGCCTATACATGTCCATGTGTTTGTCTAATATAGAAAAGCCAAATGGGTCTTGTTCAGTGTAATGTTGCTTATTCTAGAGAGTGGGCTTTGATGGAGCTTTTTTTCCCTGTGTGGAAGTTCTAGGGGGTCAAGATCTTCACAGCTGCAGGCTGACACTCAAATAGTTGAGGTTTTAAGTTACTGTGGGAAGCTGAGCCTTTGGAAAATCAGTAATAAGAGGAATTTAACTACAAGTGTTCACAAAACATTGGGCATGAAGGACGTTTTGTCATTTGTTAAAGCCTTCTTACAGTTGTTGTGCACATTTGGGTCAAGTTTTCCAAAAATCCCGCACAGTTTTTTTTTAAATGCAACTCTTCATAGATCTTCATCCACCCAACTATGGGTCATAAAGTCTGTTCTACAAATTTCAAAGCTTTTTAAACTTAAACATTTCAGACAAGGCTTTGTCAAGCCAGCATCAAAATTAGCCTCTAATTGTTCCTCTTCTTTTTATAAACTCTGTGCTTTTGATTGATTGATTATTTTTAGTCAGTGTAACTAAATACTTAATTGTAAAATGTATAACTAGTCCAATAGTTTTTCAGATGTTGTTTACCATACCAAGTTAATCTGTTTCCAGCAGTTAAGTCTGAAACTGCTATCTATCAAGTTGTTATCAGCTGTGTAACCGTTTAAAACAGGTTTTTTGTTTTGTTTTGTTTTTCAGAACATGAAAGCAAATAGATTTGACATAAGGACAACGGGTTAGCACTGGTTATCACACTGTAGAGAGATTTCAGGGTTTTTTTTAACTTAGTCTAGACCCAGCCAAAAGTTAGTTGTTTATATACATTATGTACTAAGCCTTTTTTCTATGAACAGGTAGAAGGTTTTTTGTTGCTGTTTGTTTTTGTATGTTTTAAGCAAATGTAACAAACCCTAAGGAAAACTGAACAAATTTAAAATACTAAACGAAAAGGGCTTACCCTTCTTTTGTATTTTCAATTTGTTCATTTGATGTCATAAATGAGTGACTTCTCATGTTTCAAACCATTATCCACGTTAATGTTTCTTATCCTTCATGTCATGGATACAGCATCACATGGAACAAAAATCCCCAAAAAGTATTTCTAACCTTCTCCTTAAATTCATCCACAAGGGTGTGAGGCTGTCAGAATTGTTTTAAATTGTGTGTTTTACGCACTCTGAGGTGACTTAATTAAGCCATTAGTGTGAAATGCTGATTGAGGGGCAATTTTCTGAGCAACCGTTCATCTCTCCCACGATGAGTCTTGTGGCTAATGGTTATTTTTCTGTCTTTTTCAGCAGGCGCAGGCTAAGAAAGAGGAGCCCGTTACACCAGCTTTAAGTGAAAGCATTCCAAAGTTCTACTTCCCTCAAGGACAGCCCCAGGCCAACATCAACATAGACAATCTTATTTCCAAGATAGAAAAAATATTTTCTCAATTTCCTGATGAAAGAGTCACTATTAAAGACATGGGGCTAGTTGCCAAGGTAAGTGTGGTTTGTAACATGCCACCTTTATCCCCTCTGCAAATTGTTCATTTTGTGTAACTAACTTATAACTGTTTACATGTTTGAAGGTTTTACTTTTCCTTTAGCAAGTGGAAAAATATCACCACTGTTTATATGTTGAATTACTTGTCCTGAAGAGAACCTATTTAGGTAAACGACGGGATTCAGGAATTTAAACCAAAAGATTTATAAACAATCATTGCTAATTAGCCCCATTTATAGTTTCTACAGCACTTATGAAAGATGTAGTCATAATGGCCAAGCACTTAACAGAAACCTCTGATTAAGCTAAATTGCCCGTTTAAGAGAGAATGGTTGTAGTGTTGCATTTTATTTCTGAACTCTACTGTAACATTAAGATCTGAAAACTTTACAGTCTGTTTGGTGCTTATTTGTTTAGATAGAAACATAGCATTCATTTTGAAATTCATTACATCTAGATCTATTTTGTCACCCTGAGGTTGCAGTAACGGTCTAGGGTAAACGTACCTATTAAGCTCACGTACCCATTAAGCACACTTCCATTTTTGAGCTCAGATTATAAAAAGAAAAAATATTGTATTGTCCTACTTGATGTCTTAACCAATTGATATGTTTGTTACTATATATCTCCTATAATTTCAAGTCAGTCAGATCATTGCACACTGAGATATGTTTGTCCATGTGTTCACACTGTCTGGCGGCCATTTTGAAAGCGGTATAAAAACTTTCACCAAAAGAGGAGCCCCTTAAATTTGCGTTTTTTTTTAAATGTTTAAGCCTTTATTTTGGGTAAGTTTCACAACTTCCTGTAAAATTAAGAGATTAATGTTTAGGTTTAGACTTTTGCATATTATAACCTGGAACTTGGATGTGGGATATAATTCCAGTTAGATTCAAAAGATAGTTTTAACAACATAGCGCAGATGCTACAGAACACCGTTAGCTGACTAGTTGTATAAGATTGTGTGCTACACTAATTTATGTTTAAGCCTTTATTTTGGGTAAGTTTCACAACTTCCTGTAAAATTAAGAGATTAATGTTTAGGTTTAGACTTTTGCATATTATAACCTGGAACATGTGGGATATAATTCCAGTTAGATTCAAAAGATAGTTTTAACAACATAGCGCAGATGCTACAGAACACCGTTAGCTGACTAGTTGTATAAGATTGTGTGCTACACTAATAAATTACTTCACAGGCATTACTGGCTTGTATTTTTAAATCCATAATATTATAAATTGACAGATTATTGCTGGTCTGTGGTTTTACAGTGCCGTAATTTTTAAAGATTTCATATTATTGTATGGTGAGCTTAAAGGGTGCACTACTATGAAAATCACACAGCTTCAGGGTGACATCAGTAAGAAAAAGTAAAATTTCATAGATATTGTAAATAATAGTTGTTCATATTAAAATATGTATGAATTTAATACATGACCTAGACCAGTGGTCGCCAACCCGTCGATCGCGATCGACTGGTAGATCTTTATCACTGTCCCAGTAGATCCCGAAAATAACAGTAAAATAAGTACAAAAATGCATTGCATTTCTGGGGTTATATTAACCTTGGCAATGTTGTCAAGTCTGCAGTTTTACCGCGGAATTGGGCTACTTTAACACTGTTGCCGTGGGTTGTTGTTCATGTCCGCGGGTTGAAGCGACCCCAATAACGTGATATTGAGCCCCAGGAATGTGAATTTTACTGGAAGATCCCCGCCGAAAAACATGTTTGTTTGTTATAAAGCAAATAGCCAATAAATACATTTGCTTAAAAATCAGTATCAGTTTCAGAATCCAATTTGCTAGTTAAAAAAAAAGAAAGAAAATAAATTCTTCTGAATCAGCTATGACCGGCGCATCACTAATTATAATACTAAGTAAAAGGCCTCAAATTTGAAGTACAATCTGGGATGTCTTTTTCCATAAATTCTTCAATAGGTAGATCTTGTCTTTCATAAAGGCCGAGGTCAGGGATCTTGGGCCTAAAAAGGTTGGTGACCACTGACCTAGACTATTTATTTAGCAAAATCCTGTCATTTGAATAAATATTACATGAAAGTGTAAAGTGAAGCGTCAACTTCTCCAGACTGTAAATCAGTGGAAAATCGGGGCAAAAATCGTGTAGTGTATTCCAGCCTTAAGAGACTATAGATAAGTTGACATCCATTTAATAAGAGGCTTCATAATGAGGCTAGTTTCGGTGTTCATCCTCGTGAATGAAATGTTTCATTGGTTTGTTTTATTTGATTTTTGAATATGTGTTACTTAGCTGAACGTGGACTAGTCTATATGTTGCAATGTGCTTAAATTACACTTCATTATGAATTTATAACTGATCAAATTGAATGCCTTGTTGCTTGATTTTAGTGTTCTGTTTTTTTGTGATTGACTTTGTACCTTCAAAAATATCTATTTTTCAATTATTCTTTAAAAAGATTGTTTAAAATAAACAAGAATTTTTAATAAAACATGTGAGCTTAATGGGAACAGGGGCGTGCTTAAAGGGTACAATAATGTACCCATTAAGCACAGCCAGACTTCTTGAATTTAAAGTCCCCCTGTAGTGAAAATCAAGTTTTTTTTAATGTTGTTTATTTGTCTGTGGTGTTTTTAATAGGCTTTTAGACAAACCATGTGCCAATCTATTAATCAACACCATTGCTGTGTATTTTCTCCTTAAAACTGTAGTTTCCCAAAGGCTGACCCAGAAATATGGTTTGAAACCGCCCTTGGTTTGCTACGTCACAAACCAATAACCAATCACGTCAAGGGATCGATTCCTATCACTAGCATGCAAAATATACCAATACCAGCACAAAACCAAAAATAAATCAAAGCAAAAAACCCATGAAGCTGTGGTTAAATGTGAATTTAGAACCGCTAACTTGCATTATAAGCCGTGGCAACAGTGTAAAAGTAGCCCGGTCAGAGTCACCTCTCTCGCAGCTGCGTCTGCACTTCACATGCGTATGCTCGCGGGCGCAAATTAACTATCACAAATGGCTGCATTCGAGTCTTCAAGGCATTTTAGGACACAACATCGTCAAGTAAGTAACTTTAATGAATGTTACAGTATTCACTGTAGTTGTCCGCTAGTAAAAACATAGTTTTATCCGTGTATGCCACTGTTTTGTGTTTACTACAGTTCAGTGGTTCAGGAGGCGCTGGCTGGTGTGACTGAGTGGAGGCGGGACTAATTTGCATATTGATAGATCCACGTATAGTAAATGAGGCAAGGGTGTAGAGTTACATTCAAGCTATTTTAAGGCATGAGAAAATTATTTTCACAAGAAAAAACATTTAAATGTAATTTTGATGATCAAAGATAAGTTTTAAGGGATAAAATATTTGACTACAGGGGTACTTTAATGATGTATATCTTAATTGAAAAGCTTTTGTCATTTAAAATAAAATTTAATATTTTTGTGTGAGAGATTTTATTTTAACAACTTTTTGTACTGAAACCAATATCTTGTGCACTAAAATGTCTCGATGTAGATTTTGGTGAGCTTAATAGGTATGTTTACCCTATTTCGGTGTGACGTTTTTGTCTCCTTGCAGGCTTGCGAGTGCCCACTCTATTGGAAAGCTCCATTGTTCCATGCTGCCGGAGGAGACAGGAGGGGATATGTGTCCGTTCACAAGTTTGTGGCAATGTGGCGAAAGTAAGACAATAGTTCTCTTCACAGTGGCCTTTCACATTAATATCAACAGGGGTCAATGGCTGCACATGGTTTTTTTTAGCAAGTATATGAATGTCCTCTTATCAAGAGCTAAAGTGCCGTGAGCTCTGTGTATGATTTTGGTGGTTATTGATTATTTGATTATTTTGTACGACGAAACGGCTGTTTATTTTGTGTCGCTGCATTACTTTGTGGTTTTTGTGGCTGTCTTATATACTTATTCAAGTTTCTAACTGAGCGGCTGTGATTCTACAGAGTACATGAACAGATATATGATATGAAGTGGATTTTCCATAAAATATAATTAAATTTAAAAACATTGGTACCTTCTATATTATTAATGCACCATGTCTAGATATACATTTATGTAAATATTTTTAATGAGATTATTAGTGTTCTGGAGAAAACTGGGAGTTCCTGGTTTGGCTGAGCATCTGGGTGGGGGTCCCTGAATCTGTAAAGGTTGAACACTCTTGTTTTATAATCATTATTCCTCCTCCATTGTTAGGGTTGGGAATCGAAAATCGATTCCGATTCCAGAATCGGATACTTAAGGTCAGGAATCGGATACTTGTTGTCAAATTAAAATTTCGATTCCGCCTATCGATTCCTTTGCGCTTTTTTTTTCTTCATCTGTGAGGACCGGTCCTAGCGATCTGTCAGGACCTTGCTCGCTAATCTAAGCGCTCCAAAGTGTGGCTACATTTACGATCAGTAGGGCTGGTCCGAATACCATTTTTTGAGCTTCGAAGCTTCGGTAGTAATCAACACCGAATATTCGAAGCTTCGGAGGGAGGGAGCTGAACATATTCTTCTCTCTAATAAAGGCAGGAATCTCTGTGTGTCTGTCTGTCTGTTTGCATTTTTATTATGTCGAGAACCGTTCATCCAATCGACTTTACACATGGCGGGAGTGTTGGTGTGGACCCCAGGGGGAGGCGTGTCGCATTTTGGTACAATATGGACACGCGACACGTTCAGAATTAATAAACTTTTAATAAACTACAGAACAGCACGATCCGGAAGCCTCACACGGGCAGGGCTTATATGCTCCGAGAACAGACACTGCACTAGTGATACAAAACACAGGTCTGTTAAGAGCAATAATTTTAATATAGACAAATTATTATTAGGCTGGGCTACTGTACGTTTTTTTTTTATGGCTGCCGTATTCGCAAGTATTTTCCAAGCAAATTGAGTGCACATTTTTATCATGTGTAAAATTACTGATTAACATGGCGGATAAAAGCAAAACAATTCATTTTTTTACACACCAACAATATACTATTAAGAGTACTACTTACAGAACTCCCACACAGTCTTCAGCATTTTTGTATTCTCTTCCAGATTAACTAAATCATGATGTTCACTCATGGGCGATTCATAAGCCACTTTTCCACTATCGGGCCGAATGGTTCTCTTTGCTTAACCGTTCCATTCGGTGCCGATCCGGGCAAGTCGGCACAGATACGGTTTCATTTTCCACTGTGGTGCTGATAACGAAGCTCTTTGGAATGCAATACAAATGCGTCAGTCGTTGCCTTGGTAACGCAATTGTAATATAAACAGCGATATGGACGATGATCAGATATTTCTGTTTTTGGGACTAATTTTTTTTATCTGATATTTACTTTGTTCAATAACAGAAAAAAAGTCTCTCTTGACGTGGAAAAAAATAAATAAACCAAAGGCGACGACGGGTATAATATAAATAAGCGCAAATGTTTCCTCCACAGTCCAAACTCTCAGACATTTTTTTTCTTAGCTGTTTATTTGGCTGTTTGATCAAATAGCGCGCTTTCGCTTAGCCAGCTATGGAGAAACTGGTAGCCAGGCAACAGAGTGGCGACGTCACGCAGACGCACTCTACCAGCACAGCTCAGCACGGTTGTCTAACCGTGTCGAGAATTCCAGGCCGAGAACGGTTTGTAATCGTGCCGCGCCGTACCAGGCTCACGTGGAAATACAACTGTAACCGTACCTGACAGTTCTTAGAACCGTTCGGCCCGATTGTAAAAAAGGGCTATATTCAAGCGCGAATGAGAACTGTTTCGCGGGGGATGCCAAGTGTTCAAAAAAAAAAGAAAAGAATATTCGAATCTCAAAATTGAAAATCGAATGCCAACCCACCGAACGAATATTCGAATAATCGAATATTCTGGTCCGGCCCTAGCGATTAGAAGCCAAAAAAGCGAAGTATAATATCTGTGATAGCTAAACATGTTGCAAGAGAGGCGTCACCACCAACATGACAAAGCACTTTAATTTAATAGATCGTTAAAGATCACAAACACGATTCAAACACCAACGGGATTCTATTCCTAAATTACAATGATTCGTCTGTTTCGTTCCTCAACCTTTGACGTGTGCGATCAATGTTGTGATCACTTGGTTCGTCCGTGCAGCGTACGATCACACCAGTGTGATTTGAACATTTTTAATTGGCATTCGCGCTGCCATTGACCTAAAGAGAGCAGCTGTCATCTGTCATCATTTTCATGAATGAAACCGCTTCACAGTCTTTTCAGCCACACAGAATCATTTCTGTTACAAACATTCAAATCACAGAAGTACTAGGATAGAAATTTATAGTTCAGATATAAACTGTGTGTACGATGTGTATGGTAGCGATTAAAATAGAGTAAATCACCTTTTGAAAGTAATTTGGCACTTCAAATGAAGATTTATCGATTACATTGTTACGCCAATAGGTGGCGAAAAGAAGCTGTTAAAATGTATTTGTCATTGAATCATACAAGAGATTCGTTCAAGAACGCTGATTCATCCAGTAATGAAACAAGTACATCTTGAGTGAGTCATTTAATCATTCATTCATAAATTACATGTGATTTGGTTTAGTTGTCTAATGTTTTTTCTTCAGAATCATGAGAGAACCACAACTTCCATTGGGGGAAAAAAGAAAAAGAAAAAAAAAACTAAATTTATCCAGAATCATGCAGTTCTATTTTGCACACAAACAGCTTGTAAAGAGTCTAGTTTTTATTTAGCCTGATGATTTTGGTTCATGGTATTCAGCTCCAATAAATGGTTTGCAAAAAAGAGACACAGGATAAATTAGGGCTGGGCGATATAGCTAAAAAATGTATCAACGATATAGTGTTTCATATCATTCGGTATTGATAATTATTGACTTTTTATAACCTTTTTTAAAACACAGAGCAATAGAATTTTTTTTTTACATTTAACCACTGTATTTTTAAATTAACTCAATTTATTGAGACAAACATCAAATATTTTTTTGTTTTAACAGTCAAAAACAAAATAAAAATTAAACATCTAATTTCTAATGTTTTATATACAGATTAAATAGGTTAAACTTTTGGCTTGTAGTCTATAAAAAAAATGTGCATTACGTCTATTTAACTCATATCAATCAAATATAATTTCGTAAATTACATAAACTATTATGAACAAAACAGTATCACGTATTTATGCATTGCTTAATACAAAGAGCCGATCGCCCATCACAAAGATTGCCTTTAAAAATATATGAGACGCAGTGAAAAGGAATAAACCTCCACAAATTTGCGACGTGTTTTCTAAAAGTTTAAACTGTTTTAGCTTTGCATGGCTTTCTATACATCTCTGTGTGTGACGCGAGTGCAGCAGTCGTATTTGTCCGTCAAGAAAATGCGCTGAATATGCATTCTGTGTGAATGGCTTGGTTTCGGTTTTAACCTAATCAAGATCTTCTCCGCATTGAGCTTCTATATTTCTCTAATATTTTGAATGAATAACGCAGCAACTGCGCGTCTCGTGGGCTAGACTAACAAAACATTAAACTACAACATCACTTGCATTATCACCGCATCTCGTGCTCCACTGATGTCGCTCCCTGATGCACATCTAACATTGGATTGTACTATTTTTGCATTCAAATGCAAATGTTTATTTTAAATTCGACTCACAATCTCCTCATCACAGGCAGGCACAGCCCTCATGTTCGTGTTTGTGTGTGCTGTCTGCATCACTCATAGCACGTGCCTATATTGTGCACTATATCAAACATTTTTTGTACCGTCGATAAATATCAATACCGTTTTATCGCCAGGCCTAGGATAAATGTTTGATATCATTATTTAATCACATTGGAATCAAAACTGGGAATCGAAAATAATCGATAATCAGCATCGCATTTTATCAAATTTAAACGATACCCAACCCTAATCATTGTATGTCAGAACTGGCTGAGCTGAATTCTGGAGCCTCATTTGTAGATTCCATTAATCCAAAGCCACATATCGAAGTGAAGGGTTTTGGAGACCGTGTTGCTCTATGAAAGGATGAGGGGGAGCCTGAAACCATCTGTTTCCTCACCACAGAGTGCTTCAGTCCTGTCATGATGACGCATTCAAATTTCTTCACCTTCTGGCCAAGCCAGGCTGCAGTTATTTGGAACAAGAGGACTTTATTCCATTCCTGCAGGTACCGAGTTCTGGAATAGAGACTTACCACTGAGAACACAGACACACACAGGTCAAAATGCACTGAGCATTGATGATTTCAGCATTATATTATTTGCTACCATTCCTTTTTTTATGTACTTGCTAAATTTCAAATGTAATGCTAGATGTTATGAAATAATTGTGTGCAGTAGTGCATTCTTTGAGTTCAGTGATGGATGGACATGTCATTTATATTCACTGGCAGGATTGGCCATGCACAGTGGAGGAGATGTATTCTGGCGTCTGCACTTTAATTTGTATTGTGTAGCTTTAGCAATTGCTTTGACCGTTTTGATGAATGAAAAAAGTATTGTTATGGAGTAGATTGGCCTGTGCCCGTCTGTTCCTTTACAGCAGTGATTTATGTGTTTTTCTATTGTTTAATTTCACATGGGGAAGGGTCAAAGAGTCACGCACCTCCCCCAAAATAAGTTGTCATAATATATCGCCTTTTACGCATATATACCAGTATTTGACTATGAAACATGCGATGGATGGACATGTCATTTATATTCACTGGCAGGATTGGCCATGCACAGTGGAGGAGATGTATTCTGGCGTCTGCACTTTAATTTGTATTGTGTAGCTTTAGCAATTGCTTTGACCGTTTTGATGAATGAAAAAAGTATTGTTATGGAGTAGATTGGCCTGTGCCCGTCTGTTCCTTTACAGCAGTGATTTATGTGTTTTTCTATTGTTTAATTTCACATGGGGAAGGGTCAAAGAGTCACGCACCCCCCCCCAAAATAAGTTGTCATAATATATCACCTTTTACGCATATATACCAGTATTTGACTATGAAACATGCATGAGTAAAATGTTTGTTTCTCTGCTGAAGAATGCACTTTATGGAAAAGTCAGCTGGCCATATGTATGCAGAGAGTGAGACTGCCTGAAACTGATGCACAAGCTAAAAACTGGACTTGGCCTTAAAATCACCCTTTTGTTCTTAGAAGCTTAATACCTTTAACATTTCCACACGTCTTGTACCAACGTATTAGCCTCTGCAAGTGGATAGACTAAAATTATTTGCCTTTTCTCTGTAATCTAATCCAGAGCCTCTTTGCACACAAATGGATTTAACATTGCTGTTTTTTTCTTCTCCTGTAAGCCGTGTCAATTATTATATGCTGACTTTGATGTTATATTGGTGTGTGTGAATCATTTATATACCTTTTTTTTTTTTTTTAAGGATGGGGGGGATTCACATACAGGTCTGGCATTTCTAAAGGAGGCTTCAGACTTTCACTCACGCTACATTACCACTGTAAGGAATACTTCCAGTTGTGTATTTTTCTAGTAATTGAAACGCTTTTTGTATATTAAGCATAGATTTGCACCATTAACTAAAGCCTCAAATAACCTGAACTGTGTGTGTGTGTGTGTGTGTGTTTTTGGTGCACCATAGGGCTGGGCGGTATGACGTTACCGTGAAATAAAGTGTCTATCGTTAGAGATTTTGCTATATCTTGTATTCCGCGGTATGCAAATTAGGGCTGCACGATATTGGGGAAAAAACTCATTGCGATTATTTTATTTTTCTGCGATATACACTGAACAAAATTATAAACGCAACACTTTTGTTTTTGCCCCCATTTTTCATGAGCTGAACTCAAAGATCTAAGACTTTTTCTATGTACACACAAGGCCTATTTCTCTCAAATATTGTTCACAAATCTGTCTATTGTTCACAAATCTGTCTAAATCTGTGTTAGTGAGCACTTCTCCTTTGCCGAGATAATCCATCCACTTCACAGGTGTGGCATATCAAGATGCTGATTAGACAGCATGATTATTGCACAGGTGTGCCTTAGGCTGGCCACAATAAAAGGCCACTCTAAAAATGTGCAGTTTGATCACACAGCACAATGCCACAGATGTCGCAAGTTTTGATGGAGCGTGCAATTGGCATGCTGACTTGCAGGAATGTCCACCAGAGCTGTTGCCCGTGAATTGAATGTTCATTTCTCTACCATAAGCCGTCTTCAAAGGCGTTTCAGAGAATTTGTGAGTTCAGCTCATGAAAGATGGGGGAAAAAACAAAAGTGTTGCGTTTATAATTTTGTTCAGTATATATTGCGATATGAAAAAAAAATCACCACATGACTTGAATAGTTTATTTGGAAAAAATATAATGATTGGGGTGATTTTGTAGGCGACTAAATCAGCATAGTAAATAAACAAATTATAAGCATAGATAAATATTACAGAACAAAGATACAAATTAAATAAGCAGTGCCTTATATTTTTCAGGTAAGTCTAACAGTATTCGGGTACAGAAACTGAATAATCAAATGTAAAATAACACTGCATAGTCTTCACTGTATAAATTAAATCTAATAAATCTGTGTTAAAGCTACAAAAGGGATTTTTCTTTGTGTTTTGTTGTTTGATTAACATTCATAACACAGAAAGCCTCAGGAATATTAAACTGCTGTAAACCAATATACTGTTACACATTCATTTTCTTTCTCAATTGTTTCCCTTCACCTAAGCCATAAGCAACTCCGTTTACAAGGATACTTGCAGATCACAGTATTTCAGGCACAAATAGACGCAGAAGTGAACAGAATTCAGAGTTCACCAGACGCGTGCGGCGCAACGCGACAAAATACAATGAACCCATTATAATCAGTGATGCTGTGTGACTGTCTACACTGGATGTGGTGTGGCACGACAAATCCCCGACAGTATACTGATGCCGCAATCTTTTTATGACGTACTGACACAAAGTTCAAATGATTGGCAATGGTCGCTTTGTCGCGTCCAGTGTAGACAGACTTTGGGGCCATTCACATGTCGCGCCGAAAACGGCAGTTGCGCCGCTTTCTCCTTTCCAAACCGCTCGGGAGCTTGCACTTTTGTGGCGTCTGCTGTTGCTAAGTAACCGTGACCTGCGCTCTCCACAACGACGCGGAAGTTTCAACAAAGGATAAATGGCGTGCAGTAGCTCTGCTACTAAATGTAATTAAGATTGGTATCTCTGTACAGCTGTTGCATCCGGTTAGACACCGTGTCTGTGTGTGAGCAAAGAAAACAATCAGTATAAATATAACGATCAGTAGCCTATACTAAACATCGCACATCCTGCGATGTGACTATCGCGGATGCGCACATCGCGATAACGATGCTGAAGCAATATATCGTGCAGCCTTAATGCAAATATATCTGCGGTAACATGGTACTGCTTAAACTTTATACACATTTGAGTGCTAAGGAAACATGTATGAATGAGAAAATAAAGAGTGGGATGTACTTGGTAGAGATAAGTGCAATAAGCAGTGAAAAAGAGCTCAATGCGGTGCTCACGCTGACTGACACACAGCCGAAGCACACGCACTGAAAGCCCCTCTCGACAGCATGCAATTGCGAAAACAGATCTCTTTCGTGTTTTATTGTGCTTGAATGGTCAAATACGCACACAGTAATGTCATAATGCCCGTCGTGTGGAGTATTCAAGTAAACACAGTCGGTTATATGTTAAATATATGTAAAACAGTTGGGTGAAAACCGGATGCATTTCAGTATATGGATCCGTATATGGATCCACTATAAATGAAACCCTGCACAGTCTTAAAGGGACAGCAGACTTATTTACCTGCTGCTGTCTGTCATTGTTAATGTTCATCATGTTTGATGATACAGTGAAGACTGTGCAGGGTTTTATTTATACACTTTATTCAATTTCTGTAATATTTCTTACTACATGTTAAATAAACCTAGCCTACTGTATCTGAATAAATTAAGTTTATTTCATATTTATTTGTTCTGTTGTGCTTGTAATTTGCTGCTTTTTCTTAATTTTAATAACAAAAATAAAATAAAAATACCTATATCGAGGTACATATCGTTATCGTGAAATAAAATTTCTCATACCATGAAATAAGATTTTGGTCATATCGCCCACCCCCTAGTGCACCATAACTCTGGACAGTTTACAGATCAGCATTGTCTTGTTGAATTACTTCAATGAACCTGATGTTCAACAAGGTGCTTTTTCTGCCAACAGGTAGTCCAAAGGATATTTTATAATGTAAACCGCTCATGGACTGGAAAAATAACATGCTCAGAACTCAGGAGAAGTAGTTTTCTACAGGTAAATATGTTAGGAGTCTATATCTAGGACTGCAGTGGACATGTCAATTAATTTTCATGCTAATTGATAAATGTAATTGTAACTAATGTAAACAGTATGGCTGGGTATCGTTCAAACATTTTCGATATCGATAACGATACCTTGACTTCGATACCGGTTCCTGAACAATACTTTTTTCGATACCAATTTTATGAAATCAATTTTAACAACATTGCCTTATCTAAATGCTCATCTCCTGAGCCACTGCACAAAGGAACAAAGTATAACCAACAAAATAAATCAGTGCATATATTTTTAATAAAGCTCAAATAGTCTTCAGTTTACACATCTGTAATTTAAAATGCATAGCTCAGACAGAATCATGATTTCTATTCATTTTCCACTGATTTACTGATGAGCATTAGCAGCTTCCAGCACTGTCTGCCTGTGCTCTCTCTTTCATGATTGCTGCTCTAACTCAGAGGTAATAACATATTTAATTTCAGCAACATTACATGGCCAAAACACACATTCGACGGAAATCGGAAGTTATTACAAACACTCGATGGTGGTTTAAAGTGAGTTTTGAGTAAAATCTTGTTTATTGTCTTATGTAGCATGATGCTACAGTGTGCACGAATAGTCACATAACATGCGTAGTATGAATGAACGTACATTTGCATGATCGGAACTCCACGCAGCTCCCGCACTCTCCATTAAAAATTAATGACTTTCGGTCTGTCGTTTGTCAGAGATAGTGGAAAGCCGGCTTGAAACACAGTGGAAACGCCAGTATGAAGAGGATCGTTTTCATTTTAAAACAAAAATGCACCAGTGTAAATGTAGCCTTATATCTAAGAGGGCTGGGACGCATTCACACTACAGCCTCACGTGTGCGCCACATCTCTGAGTGTAACCGGTGACGTGGACCAACTGTGCAGACCGATCTGTGTATTACAGTACCACGAGAGCTATAGAGAGCAGACTGCTCCGTATGCTTTCGAATTGCTCTCGCGGATGTCAAACACTGATCGATCTGCGCGGCGCCGCTCATAGTGCTGCAGGCTTATTGGCTCACTGACATTGATAATTGTCAGAGATAGTGGAAAGCCGGCTTGAAACAGTGGAAACGCCAGTATGAAGAGGATCATTTTCATTTTAAAACAAAAATGCACCAGTGTAAATGTAGCCTTATATCTAAGAGGGCTGGGACGCATTCACACTACAGCCTCACGTGTGCGCCACATCTCTGAGTGTAACCGGTGACGTGGACCAACTGTGCAGACCGATCTGTGTATTACAGTACCACGAGAGCTATAGAGAGCAGACTGCTCCGTATGCTTTCGAATTGCTCTCGCGGATGTCAAACACTGATCGATCTGCGCGGCGCCGCTCATAGTGCTGCAGGCTTATTGGCTCACTGACATTGATGAGATTAACCCCTTAGGTATCGAAATTTGGTACCGAACGACAAAACGTTTTTCGATACTCGATGGTATCGAGGCAATTCAGTCGGTGCCTAAAAAGTATCGAACTCGATACCCAGCCCTAGTAAACAGTAAATAAAAGCATGTATGCTCTGTATACAGTATTTTGATATACTGCTAGTTTTTGGAACCCAGCCCACATTAATATTATTTTAGATTAAAGCCCCATTCACACCAAGAATGATAACTGTAAAGATAACGATAAAGATATAGTTCTAAAAATCGTTCTCAATATTAAAAAATGGCGGAGTCCACAACTATAACGATAAAGGTACAGAGAAACGATATAGTTAGAATCACTTTCAGAATGATTTTTTCCAGCTGATGAATGATAAAGATATTGGCAGCCAATCAGATTCAATCCTGCTGTCACGAGCTCGAGAATTTAAAGCGGCAGACGAGCATGCGCTTAGAATAAACAGACGATATCGTTCGCTTAATTGCTGATTTAGTATTGGAGCCCGAACAATATGTTTTTGGGGGCCGATACCGATATTAGGGAGTAAAAATACACCGATATCGATATATATCGGCCGGTATTCTTTGTGTATATTATAGTACAGTACCAGTCAAAAGTTTGGACACTTTCCCATTCGTGTGTCCAAACTTTTGACTGGTACTATATATAGAATACAGTATATACATAAACAGAATATATATACATAAACATTTTTTGCCATGATCACTCAAATGTGGTGATCAAACACTTATAATGACGTGACAAAGATACGTAATGGAGGCAGGGCATTTAACAATTTAACAGTGAACTTTATTATCCAAAATGAGTCTGACATCAGTGCACTTAACAGTAAAGTTGAAGTTTATTCAACTTTATTTAAATTCAATTCCATTCAACTTTATTCCGTTGAAGTTTATTTCACTTCGGAACATTCATTCACGAATCTGCGCTACTGTCTTCACACACAGACGAAACTTACTAGAGAAGTGTGACATAATATACCTCTGTAAATAAATACAATTTAAATTCATGTCTCGTGCACTTTAATGCCCCTTGAATGTAATGTGAACGTTCCCTTGGAACTGGAATCATGGCAGAATATCATGTGAAGTCCACTTCGCAGGGCACTTACGGTCGAATAAGACAACGCTTGAATGCTGCTTCCTGAACAAGAGACCTCATTACTGAAGTGAAAGTGTTGGCTGGTGTCACTATCTCGCAAACGCAGCGGCAGATCTCCACCAAATTCGGGGGATCCCTTCAGCTCGAGGAGCCCTCTCAAACGCCATCCTCCGCGTGTCGGTAGCCCCCCGGGATCGCCAGATCGATCTTTTTTTGGTGTGGATCCGCCGCTCCGTTACAGAGATATGGCCGTTCAAAGTTTCAATGGTATTCCATACACTTAAGCTTTAAAGCGTTTCATCCAGGTTGCCAGAAGCAAACAATTGTCTCTGCTTGACAAACTTCGTAATTACACCATTTACAAGCATTTTATCGATGTTCTGTAAAAAAACAATCATATTGGCGGCATATTCACCGATACCGATATATCTGTGACAGGCTCGTATCGGCCGATAAAATTGGCAAAACGATATATCGGTCGGGCTCTATTTAGTATTATTATTTTTGTTATTGTAGACTTAACATGATTTTCTTGAAAATTAAGTTGTTTTGGAATTTATCATGCTGATTTTTCTAAAATCAGGCTGGCCTATCTACAATTTAGGTGACTAAGCTTTTCTGTGGTGTAATGGTGAAAATGTTTCCCAACAGAATGTGGCACTACTGGAAGAAGAGGAAGAAATTAACCACTTGACAGAGTTCTTCTCCTATGAACATTTCTATGTCATCTACTGTAAATTCTGGGAGCTGGACACAGATCACGACTTGTACATAGACCAGAGAGACCTGATGCTACATAATGATCAAGGTACCAGTCCACCCGCTGCACCCTTAAAGGTCCCCTGAAATGCTTAGAAACACGCAGCATTATGCTGTGTTGATGTCATTTTAACTGAAACAGGGCGGGACATATCAAGTAGCCCCGCCCCTTTTTAAAATAGCCAATAGCGTTCGTTTATATCACAGCTTGGGCTAGACCCATTGAGTTCCGTAAAGCCGCATTTAACAGGGTATGCCAGCCATAATCTCACCCATATTGCTATAAAATATAGCATTCTGTGTAGAATTCAAAAAGCTCAGATACATTTTGTGGTCTGCACCGACTCGCGCATGTGATCCGCTCTGTGCTATCGTGTCTCTGGACCGGAGCAGAGTGTGTGTGCGGTGCGGTAGTTAGCGTGACACAGCGCGAAACCAGACTTATTTTTTTCTCAATGGAAAGCATATTTACACTGTTTGAATCGTTCCCTGTCCCCTATACTGAAAATACCTTCCTTCATCTATAGTGCACTACGTGCCATTCACTGTAGAGAAAATACTAATTCTGTGGACAAGTGACTGATTTCAGCCGCGGCTTCAGCTCTATTTTGTGTGTAGGGGGTCTAGAGAGATGGACTTCGGATTCTAGAGCGCATTTGATTGGACAGAAAGTTTGATGAGAAGCTGAAGTACGATGTGATGTCAAAAAAATTGTTGAGCTTTTTTGGCGGAAGTGAGGAAGCACAAGCTTTGAGTGCTTATATCTTCTAAATGCGAATTTTGTCACTATTTTGGAGCACACTGCCTTATAGATAACCTTAAGACTAACATATTGATACTAACACCCAAAAAACTTAAATTTTGATTTCATGGGGACTTTAAGACCATCACACTCTTCTGACATGTTGTTTAACGATTGGCTGCTTATTGCTGGAGGTGACATTAAATATCCCCTCCAGCAGCACTTGACTGCATATGTTTCTGTTTGCTGTAGAATGAGTTTAGTAAATTGAATGAAGTGCAGGGAAATTTTAACATCAATTTCCTCTAGCATGACGGCATGTCTGGCACTCTAATACTTTTATCTCCTTTCAGGCAGGGTCAGTAATCGTGTCTTTAAAATTATAAAATAAGGATAGTAAATCACTGTCTTGCGCTTGAAATTTACAATATTTACAACCTTTGACTGCGAATTATTACTCAGTTTAAGCATTATCTATGAATAAAGGAGAAGACTGTGATGTGATTTTTCTGCTCTCTTTTGACAGCCGTATCCCACCGAATGATTGAGAGAATATTCTCAGGAGCTGTAACCAGGTACCATCTCTCATTTTTCTGGCATTTTTTTTCTCTCCAATTTTTGAAAGCTTGCGTGTCTTTTTGTTATAGATTTTATGAGTGCTGTGGTTAATTTTACTCTGATGATCAGGGACAGAAAGGTTCACAAAGAGTGCAGACTGAGCTACGCTGACTTTGTATGGTTCCTCATTTCTGAAGAGGACAAAAAGACTGAGACCAGGTAACTGAAAATACCTTCCTTCATCTATTTTTATTGCTTTTAGGTGTTCCAAAATGGTTAGTGAGTTTTTGTCAAAATGACTGCAATTAGCAACTATTATTCTTTCTTTGATCTGATAAAACAAGATCAATTTCCCGATAAAATGGAACATTAACGTGATTATTTTCCCCATGTTCTTCAATGGAAAAATTAAAGGCTATAAAAACAATTAAATCAATGTTACTTTCCGTGAATAACATTTTCAGACATTTAATTGCATTTATTTTTACAGTATTATTTACAAAATACATTGTTTTTTTGTTGTTTTTTTATTCTTGTTGCAGCCCTAGAAAATAGTGTTTAGTAACGATTGCTTGTTGATTGTGTAGCATAGAGTACTGGTTTCGCTGTATGGACCTGGATGGAGATGGGAAGTGTTTTTACCCCATGTGTAGTTTCTTCATATGAATATCTTCAATCCAATTTTCATAAAATTGTAATCTTCTAATCAAAGTACAAGACTGTGTAGGTTATAAATTATTTTATAAAGGTATGAACTGCTCTTCCCAAGTATTGTGAATGATATAATTGAATAGAGTGATGGCAGGAGTAATTGATTATGAGCATAAAAAAACAACACTTCTTAAGTAAATAATATTCAAACGGAATGGGCTCGGCTCAGTACATTTTGTCATTTTAATTTCTTTCTTGTCAGCTATGACAATGTTCTAGACCCAGTTGATCACATAACATGTGCTTTTGACCTGCGCAACGAGAAGAGACATCTCTTTGAGATCCCCAACCCTCACTGTGACCTGGACCTGGATGAATATGAATACGAGGACGATTTCGAATGACAGCCAACAACACAACACAAGTAAAGGCTACAATCTGCTAGTGTGTAGAACAGGAAGTGGACCAATCCTGCTCTCCAGTACTAATGCCACGTAGTTCAGCTAACCAAGGCTTGAGAGTGTACAGATACGCTCCCCCAGCCGCTGGATACCAGACTGTAAACCAGCAGTCTGGCGAGGCTCTGTTTAGCAAGACAGATTGTGCTGGCCCAGTCTCTCTGTCAGTCTGACATCTATGCACAACCAGGTTTCTGAAACAAATGTAGCTGCACTGTAGGTTTCAAGCAACTACACTGGAACCAAACCGGTACACTTGAAATATTAAGTGTGCACTGTTTATAAATATTTAAATATTTTTATGCACAGAATTGGCTTATAAGACCGTGATTTCATGGATGGTTTATTTCTCATGGAGCTCTGTCGACTTGCCTTATGTGTTTGAGGGTCACATTAATATGAAATAATGCAGTAATTAGACTGACATTTTACTGTCTGTGTGAGGTGTTTCTAAATTATAATGTATTTGTTGTTTGCCTCATTTGTTCTAAACCTTTAGACTTTAGTCCAGCTAAATGTTTTCAACAAATCATGTTTGTAACATTTCTATAGAAGTGCTTCATAACAATGTGCTTTTATTATTGTAAAAAAAATCACTTTTTCATCTTGAATTCAATAAAGTGTTCAGACAAAAGTGTTTCACACATTCACTGTAGGATGTTATTTCTGTTTAATTAAAAATGGCATTTAAATTTCTGCAAGTCAAATTCATTTGAAATATTTATGGGGTAACCCTGTTTTAATTTTACAAGTAGAAGGCAAAAACATACTAGCTGTGACCAACAATATAATATTAAAAAAAAAAAAACTACAACTGCATCTCCTCCATTTACAACACGTGTAGCTTATTTGAATACCTGAATAAACGGTTATGATTCAGCAGTGTGCAACAAAATGTGTATTTGTGTTCTAAAAGTACACCGGGCAGAAAATAGAAACAAATATGAAAAAAGATTTGAGGTCCAAATTGTAATATTTTTCTTTTTGCGCTAGTTAATTATTGTAAAAAAATTCACTTTTTCATCTTGAATTCAATAAAGTGTTCAGACAAAAGTGTTTCACACATTCACTGTAGGATGTTATTGCTGTTTAATTAAAAATGGCATTTAAATTTCTGCAAGTCAAATTCATTTGAAATATTTATGGGGTAACCCTGTTTTAATTTTACAAGTAGAAGGCAAAAACATACTAGCTGTGACCAACAATATAATATTAAAAAAAAAAAAACTACAACTGCATCTCCTCCATTTACAACACGTGTAGCTTATTTGAATACCTGAATAAACGGTTATGATTCAGCAGTGTGCAACAAAATGTGTATTTGTGTTCTAAAAGTACACCGGGCAGAAAATAGAAACAAATATGAAAAAAGATTTGAGGTCCAAATTGTAATATTTTTCTTTTTGCGCTAGTTAGCCATGAATGATGTTTTACACAAGATTTGAAAGTGCATCATTCTGTCTTTTTAAGCCCACACAGGCTAAGTGCAAAATTTATGCAATAGCAATGCACCATGAATTTACATTCTTTACAAGTATTCAGCCCCGCCTTATTAGATCTGAATCTGATCATTTTAAATGGCACAATTTTCATATACAGGATATTATGTAGTGCAAACGTTCAAATGCTGTCTTTTACCAACACTCAAGACAGTTAATACAAAAAATGTCATGACAGATGTGAACTACAACATTAGACATCAATATCTACAATATCCACATCCACTTCAGCACTGCTCTGTGGACCTGTAGCAGACACGAGACTGCTGGTCAGCTGCTCTTTGCTCAGTGGAGCTTGTTGGACTTTTGAGTCTTCAGAACTTAAGAAAAATACAATAGTTTGTTACTCAAATGATTTGACTATTTACACGGCCAATAAGAGTGTTTATTGACCTCACCTTTTCAAAAGCTTGTTTCCCTTTGGTTCTGAATAGGGAGAAAGAAACCTCTGGTCCCCTGTTAGAAATAGAAATAGCTGAATTATAATCAAACCCACATTATGAAATACATAATTCTTAGTAACACTAATGACCAACAACTTACTGGATATACCCTAATATGTTCATGGATATATTTTCTGATATCTTTACTGTATAAAAATACTGCTGCATTATTTTGACCAGCTGATATGCAAATTGAAGCATGCTATACTTCATTTTTCCCAATTATATTAATTATAATTATATATGTATTTGTTAATTTTGTAATCTTCTTTATTCATCTATATATATAAATGTGATATATATATGCAAGTATAAATTAATAAAACATTTTAATTATAAAATTCATATCAATAATATATTAACCTAAAACCTTGATGTTGAAAAAGTTCATGCCCATGTTATTTGTCGACAATCCTTTTGCATATTGCATCATTAAAAACCTGGGCCTCAGAAGTGACCCAGTGAGCGTTCATACCTTCAGAGTTGACTTGTTTGACAGAAGGCGATCTGGAGCGGTTGGTGAGAGAGGGCTGTTTGTTGGTGTCAGAGCTGATGAAGGAGATGGCATCTTCTCCCTCGGCTGTGCCCATCAGAGACGCTCTGTAGTAAATCAGTGGCATCCAGCTCTCCTCTCTGTTGTTGATGACCTGCTCACCAGCAAATTTCTGCAAATAACTGTAGCTGGGGAAGAGACGGCCGGTTTAGAAAGAGATTAAGATCCAAAAGTGCAAGATGTCAAATGCACAGAATTCATTTATTTTTTTAGCTTTAACTTACATAGTCTTCTTGTCCGGTTTGAGCAGTTTGCTGGAGAATTCGCTGAGGATGGTGAGGTATGAGATGTATGGTGGAGAGTGTTTCTCAAACTGCTGAACGAACCCTTTGAAAACAAACTCAATGCCATCCCTGCACAGAGAAACCCACTTCTTTATTCACACTAGTAAGAGGACACTTCCTTTTAAGACCTGAATATTTCTTCCTTTATATTTTAATCCTAATACAAGACAATCCTAATACAAAATTTCTCAGCCTTGAAATAACCAAAGATAGGACTCTTATGTACTGGCTAAATGAAGCCATGCAGTGCAGCATCTTGACAAAATTATTTTTATTTGAGGGCGAACATAGCAATCAGTCTGTTCTAGCTGTGTCACTATGCCAGACATCAGACGTGATCTCACTGACACGGAGTCAGCCGGGTGGACTGCACTACCTGTGGATCATGGCCAGGGACTCGCGGGATTTGATCTGGTCCCATCCGAAGGTGAGTGAGAAGCGTCTGGCCAGCTCCTTGATGCTGCTGTAGGTCTGAACCCTGGAGCTGCAGGTGTTTCCTCTGTCCTGCTCCTGTTTCAGCCTCAGATACAGCTGAACACAGAAAAATTGTATGTCCTTGTTACATTATTGTTTTCACAAGTAATCTTTAATCATGGAGCAGCTTACACTTTGCTATTGATAGTGTTGTATTCTAATTAGATTAACATGCCATGTTTAACATGGATACTATGGTAAGTACAAATTTACAGTGTACTAGATATCAAAATTTTAATATATACAATGTACAAATTTTAGATAGAAATTTAGATAATATATATGAACACTGCCATTCAAAAGTTTTGAGGTCAGTAGGATTTTTTTTTTTTACTATTAAAAAATAAAGGATAATACTGGAGTAATGGCTGCTAAAAACTCATCTTTACCATAGCAGGAATCAAATAAATTGTACTTTTTATATATTAAAATAGACAATATAATAAATAGAAAGAGGTATTTTAAATTATTATAATATTTAATAATATTACTGTTTTTATTGTTTTTGATCAAATAAATGCAAATGCAGCCTCAATGAGCCTTAGAGACTACTTTCAAAAACAACAGTAATGTACATGTTTTTTTATATTATATATATTTTTTAATATATTATGCATTTATAAAATGTTTATATATTTATTTATTTGCTCCCCTGCTGATTTTGTAAGTTTGCCCACTTACAAAGAAATGAAGGCTCTGTAATTTTTATGGTAGGTTTATTTTAACGTATAGAGACAGAATACCAACCAAAAAATACAGAAAAAAAATTATATAAAGGTTAGAAATTGATTTGCATTTCAATGAGTGAAATAAGTATTTGATCCCCAAGCAAAATATGACTTAGTACTTGGTGCAGAAACCCTTGTTGGCAAGCACAGAGGTAAGAGGGTTTTTTGTAGTTGGTCACCAGGTTTGCACACATCTCAGGAGGGATTTTGATCCACTCCTCTTCACAGTTCTCTAAATCCTTAAGGTTTCTTGGCTGTCGTTTGGCAACTCGAAGGTTCAGCTCCCTCCACAGATTTTCTACAGGATTGAGGTCTGGAGACTGGCTAGGCCACGTCCAGCTATTTTTAGCTGGACAGAACCGCTCCTTTTGCTGCTTGATATTGAAAATTGGTGTGTCTTACCATATAATTTTGATGTATTGTCTTAATTATGAACACACTCGTTTGTAGTGCAAACTGTCTTACCGTTTACTGCACGTTGTTATTCTTCTCGTTATTTGCCTATAGTGGCTAATGAACCGGAAGTCTCACCCATAGGCTTACTTCCGCGTTGAAGAAAAAGGTGGATATAGTGATTGAAAAGATAAAAGTTATTTTACAAATAATAATAGAATGTTTTCAGCAGCCATTACTCCAGTCTTCATGTGCTTCTTCTTGAGCCACTCCTTTGTTGCCTTGGTGGTATGTTTCGGGTCATTGTCATGCTGGAAGACCCATCCATGACCCATCTTGGAGGTTCTTGTCCAAGATTTTACAATACATGGCCCCGTCCATTTGCCCCTCAATGCGGTGAAGTCGTCCTGTATCCTTAGCAGAAAAACAGCCCCAAAGCATAATGTTTCCACCTCCATGCTTGACTGTAGGGATGGTGTTCTTGGAATCATAGTCGGCATTTCTCTCCCTCCAAACACGGCGAGTCGAGTTAATGCCAAAGAGCTCAATTTTGGTCTCATCTGACCACAGCACTTTCTCCCAAGCCTTTTCTGAATCATTTTGATGTTGTTTGGCAAACTTTAAATGGGCCTGTACATGTGCCTTCTTCAGCAGGGGGACCTTGCAGGCGCTGCAGGATTTCAGTCCATTGCGGCGTAGTGTGTTACCAATGTTTTGCTTGGTGACTGTGGTCCCAACTGCCTTAAAGGGATAGTTCACCCAATTCCGTCATTAATTACTCACCCACATGTTGTTTCAAACCTGTAAGACCTTCGTTCATCTTCGGAACACAAATTAAGATACAAATTAATGAACATTTCAGTTGTATTGCTGTCTATGGAGGGTCAGAAAGCTCTCAGATTCCATCAAAAATATCTTAATTTGTATTCCGAAGATGAACGAAGGTCTTACGGGTTTGAAGCAACATGAGGATGAGTAAATAACAACAGAATTTTTATTTTTGGGTGAATTATCCCTTTAAGATCAATAACAAGCTCCTCCCATGTAGTTCGGGGCTGATCCCTCACCTTTCTCATGATCATCCTTACCCCATGAGGAAAGATCTTGCACGGAGCTCCAGACCAAGGCGGATTGATGGTTGTTTTGTATTTCTTCCATTTCAGAATAATCGCACCAAGAGTTGTCTCCTCCTCACCAAGCTTCTTGCTGATGGTCTTTTAGCCCATTCCAGCCTTGTGCAGATCTACAATCTTGTCTCTGACATCCTTTGACAGCTCTTTGGTCTTGCCCATGGTGATGGAGAGGTTAGAATGGAAGATACAGATTGTGTGGACAGGTGTCTTATACACCTAACGAGCTGACATTAGGAGTAACTTCTTAAAGTGACAGGACTAATCTGTTCCACATGGGCACATAACCAATCTGCGGGAGCCAGAATTCTTGCTGGTTGGTTGGGGATCAAATACTTATTTCACTTACTGAAATGCAAATCAATTTCTAACCTTTATATAATGCGTTTTTTCTGGATTTTTTGTTTGATATTCTGTCTCTATCCGTTAAAATAAACCTACCATAAAAATTACAGACCCTTAATTTCCTTGTAAGTGGGCAAACTTACAAAATATGCAGGGGATCAAATAAATATTTTCCCCACTGTATATATATATATATAAAAATATATATTTTTTGGACAAAGCATAATCTAATGATCTGTGTATGTGTGTATGTGTGTGTGAGCACTGCTTCCATTTTCCATTTCCTTCCTCAGCACAGGATCTACCATTAAGCTATTCAAGGAGTGGAAGAGCTGCTAGAACATTCCACACTGAGCATAATGGGATGGTGGGAGGTTGGATTCATTGTGTCTCTGAGGTGTCGACAGCTGCAGGGGCCCATCAGAGTGCAGAGAGCACAGGGGCCTGGGACAACCGGCTGAGCAGATGTGCCACGCAGAGGCACGTCACATGAGAGAGAGAGAGCGCTGGTGAAGGACTGCAGCCTCCATACCTGCTGAAGGCATTGCACCAGTGTGCGTGCGCTTTCCATCTTGTCCATCTGCCGTGTCCTGTTCAGGGTCTCTTTGATGATGTCGCCGAAGTCATTGTAGTACTGCAGGGGAGATATGACAGCAGTGAGCGATACAGGCTGTGAAGAACGCTCGATGTGGCTCCATGTCTGCCATATGGCTTCACGCCTAGGAATGTAAGCCTGTGCCATACTGAAATCACATTACCCATAAGTCTGTCTGGCCAACAGGATAAGACTCTGGAAAGTGTAGCCTATTAGTCATGAGAGGTTTAAGATTTTTTTTTTTGAACTTCTAATATGGTGACGATTATGCTCAAACATGCCAAAATACCACACATATATCATGCAATGTATCATACTCCACTTCATGACTTCATTATTAGAGGAATATTCAGGGTCAAAGACAATTTGTGATGTTAATTATCACAGATAATTATTTATACTAGTCCCTCAAAAGAAAAAGTGACAGTAATGCACTTCTGGACATCTATGGAAAAACAAGTGGCATCACTGTTAAAGCGATTAGATTAATTCTTCTTTAAAAGAACTGAGCTATATAAAGAGTTAACATATGTACTTGTCCAAATTATCCTGCTGAGGATCCCCTCTGATTTTAGGGTTTAAGTTCAATATACATTACCATTCATAACTTTGGGGTGGGTAAGATTTTTAAATGCTTGTAAAAAGAAGTCTCTTATGCCCACTAAGGCTGCATTTTTTTAAAAAAAATCAAAAATACAGTAAAAACACTAATGCTGTTGGTGTTTTTTTTTTTCCAAAACATGTCTCTGTTGCTGAAAACTCATACACTGAGTGGCTTTGAGACTTCTGCCAGTTAATCCAGTCTGGTGCAGTTTATTAAACTCAATCATGAACCCAGTCACTGACTCACCAACAGCATATGTAGTCATTTTGTATATGCCTACTAAAGCTTCTTGTTTTTCGAGTGGGCTTTGAAGTATAATTCCACAGGGCTCTGTGTTGATCTAATTACCTGTTCATTTACAAGTGCAACTTCAGTAAGATCTCACCTAATAATATCTTAAGGGATCATTATAATAATGCATTATCTGTTAGACTTACACTCCTTGATTCAATGGCACCTTTGATAGGTCAGTGAGAAGGTGGGGGTGCAATTAGATTAACGAACCACAAATACTGTGTTCTGCTACAGTGCTTTTCACTAACAGAAGGGGAATTAAGCTGATTTATTTGATTATTTTGTGCCTAACATATGCAGGTGTAGAGGCAGACTGCCATCTGCTGGTGAAAATGAGACTATTCTTAAATTATTTAATATAATATATTGAAATATATCCACCTTTTTCTTGCCATAAAAATGGGCGCAGCCATTAGCAAATTCTATGGGTCTAGCTTCCGGTCTCATCTGCATCCAGCTATTTTTAGCTGGACAGAACCGCTCCTTTTGCTGCTTGATATTGAAAATCGGTGTGTCTTACCATATAATTTTGATGTATAAACACACTCGTTTGTAGTGCAAACAGTCTTACCGTTTACTGCACGTTGTTATTCTTCTCGTTATTTGCCTATAGTGGCTAATGAACCGGAAGTCTCACCCATAGGCTTACTTCCGCGTTGAAGAAAAAGGTGGATATAGTGATTGAAAAGAAAAAAGTTATTTTACAAATAATAATAGAATATTTTCAGCAGCCATTACTCCAGTCTTCAGTGTCCCATGATCCTTTATAAATAATTTTAATATGCTGATTTGGTGCTCAAGAAACATTTCTCATAATGTTGAAAACATTATATATGTATATATAAACACAGAATATACACACACACAGCTAGATAGGTTTAGCTTTTTTTCCTATATATATATATATTTTTTTTTTTACTATTTACCTCTATGAGATAGGAATTATGCAGCTGTTTTTCCTTGCATATTTCTGACAAACAGCACATATCACTGTGTCACTCAGAGCATCATATATAAAATGAGACAACCTCTGTTTCTCAGGGAAACTGCGTCTTGTCACAAAAGCATCAAGAGCCATTGTGGCTTTGTGGCTTCATGTTTTCGTCTCTGTGGTTTAATTGGACCCAGGGGAGGGGGAGCTCACACCCACACATAAAAAGTTTGTCCCGGGCCCCCGTGAATTTTAGAGGCAAAATTTTCTGACACCCTTAGGTATTTCAAATAACCGTGTAATTGTAAATTTTCCTCGAAAAAAGACGAAGATGAAAAAAATTGATTCAGATTGAACGGATTGATTTGAACTGTGAATTGCTCATAAAGTTATCAGCCAATTAGGAAGCACTTTCACCATTTCATCAACTCGCCACAGCCACTCGCCACAGCCACTCGCTTTTTACTCAGATTTGGCACATAGTGAGTGTTAGTTTTGGGCCCACCCTGAAAACCATCCTGTGTGCACATCCCATGTTAAGTGCGTCATCAAGTTCCAACATTCCAGCATTTTTTCAAAGAAACCTCAGTTAAACCTCAAGAACATGCGCAAAAAAAAGGATCTAAAAGACAACAACTCCCCAAACACTTAACTAATGCTGGATCTGTTGAGGCCGCCCACGTGTCAGCCCACAGCAGAGCACAGGCCAAACAAGGACCCTTAAGATTTACTGTAAATGAAAAGAAAAGAGAAAGCCATTTCTGAGCGAATCTTACCTACAGCAGTCTTAATGGCCACCAATATTTCACCATATAAAGGTTAGAGGTGGGGAGATATGATTACCCCGTGCACTGCATGAAAACACCAGCCTAATAAGAAGCCCAGCGGTGAAACGTCCACACGAGAGCACAACCATTACGCCCCCTACAATCCATCACTAGCACTTACTTTTCCTAAAGTCTCACGATCAGTCGCTTTCTATCACTAATTAAAATCCGCTGGACATAACCCTAGAGCCTCTGTGTTGATATCTGAAATGCAATGTGGCAGGTTTAAAGGACACGGCTCTTTGTGATGGATCATACGCCAACTCTGTAGACAGAGAGTCTTGCATGCCTAAAAACGCTTGTTTAATTAATCACCCAAGGGAAAACTCTGGCCTTACGTCTGTGCTTGTAGATATTACCATTCTAAGCATGATCTCAGCCGTTTATGACAGCAGTCACAATTCGGTCAGAGTGGAAGAGAAAGGTAGATGGCTCACCCTGGAGGTCACACCTTCTCCAAAGGTGTTGAGCTTCCAAAGGACGCAGTTACACATGAAGCGCAGAGCCTCAACTGTCACCTACAAGAAATACAGATTAGAGAGGCAAACCCTGTTGAAGGGAAAAAAAAAAAAAAAAGAGTAGAGGGTACGGTGCAAGGCTAAAAATGCTACCTCCATGGGAAGACCACCATGTTTTATCTCTACGTCCAGGAGTCTGGTCCCCAGCTCATACAGGCTCCATTTAGACAGATCCTGAGCACTAAACAGATAATAATACACTTGAATGGCATCAGACAAAATGACACAGAATGACACATTAAGACATAAACCGTTTTTTTTTTTTTTGTGTACAGATGCTAACTGAACAAGTAGTTGTTAATGGTGTAATTAAAAGCATCTGTATCACTATCTTGGTAACATTTCCAGAATGTTCATATAACCAAAGAAAAATTTTCTTGAAAAATAATTACTTTTTGAATGTTTGTAGAACTTTCAGAAATAATATTTTCACAACCTAATGCGAAAGCTATGAAAACATTCTTAAAACATAGCTTTGTTAGCAGGGATGTAACACACAGATTGATAATTAAGTGGGTCAACATGGTCAAAGAAATGCGCTTTACACAAATGTTGCAGTGTGTATGTGGACAGAATAAACTAGAAACTGCTTACATGTTGACCGCATTAAGTTTCTTCAGTGTGGACAGAATTTCCAAAGTGCTGTCCTCGTTTGCAGTGAAACAACCGTCCTGTACATGAAAGGAAGAACATTTAATTAGACTCCATTCTGCTGTGTAAGATACAGTCATAAATCTGTCATGAATCAACTTATTCTTTATTGATGTCAAGATCCATTTAAAATGCATGTATGTATCAGGTACAAGCTTGTAAAAGAACATCTAGAGTTTTTAGTGGTCAATTACTGTACTCACACTCTGTGATTCTCCAAACCGTGTTCCCAGTGTGTCTGTCCAGTGCTGGATGAGCCGGTCAAAGCTGGGCTGGGCCAGAGAGTGCCAGGGCGAATCCTGAGCACAGAGGCTCTGGTAGGAACGAGCAGCCGTCTCCAGCAGCCCAGCATCTGTGTGTCTGTCCACCGCAGCCTCCAACTCAGCCAACAATGCCTGCACACACTAAACCAAAACACAAATATATTACAACCAGGCGAGAAGTGCTTTAGAAAACTGTACCAAATAATATTTAGACTTGGGGTTAGTAAAATTTTTTCTTTTTTCTTTTTAAAGTAATTAATTTTTATGACTTTTATTCAGCAAGGTCACATTAAATTATCAAATGTGACAGTAAATACATTTATAGTGTTATAATGGTAAAGGATTTTTATTTAAAATACATGTTGTACTTAGGAAATTTGTATTCATCAAAGAATCCTGAAAAATGTATCACAGTTTCTACGACAATATAAAGCGGCACAACTGTTTTCAACATTGATAATAATAAGAAATGTTTCTTGAGCACCAAATTATATTAAATGATTACTAAAGGATCATGTGACACTGAAGACTGGAGTAATGGCTGCTGAAAATATATTAAAACAGAAAACAGTTTAAACTGTAATCATTTTGTAAGAAAATACAATCTTGGTGAGAATAAGAATGTGAGAATCTTCTTTCAAACATTAAAAAAATCTTACTGACCCCCAAGTTTTGGATGTGTGTGTGTGTGTGTGTGTGTGTGTGTGTGTGTGTGTGTGTGAGAATTATACAATGAAGTCATTAGTGCATCAGATGACACACAAACACTCACCTGTGAGTTTTCATGATCACAGGTGTCCGTCTGGAAATACTGAGGTATTTTTAGAAGGGAGGTCAGTTTTTCAGCATCCTCTGAGTACTAGAGGATGAGATTAGACATCAAGTTAATTTATGAAGAAGCAGTATTGGTAAAAATGAACAGTGCACTGATTTTTCTTTTACCTTAGATAACAGTTCAGGCAGCACTTTAATGAAGTGTTCAGTGAGTTTTGTGCAGTCATCAATTTGTAACTTTTTCTCTTTAGTATTTATCACCTAAATAACAAACATAGATATGTAACTAGCAACAAGTAACAGTATCACAATATGATGTAAAAAAATACTTAAGTCAATCTGTAAAAAAGTGAACGGCTAGAGTGAAAACATATAAAAGTGAAATATATCCGACAGCTCTGCTAGATCAGAGCGCCATCTCATGAAAGTATCTAAATGAAAGATGTAACAGGAAGGCTCACCTTTTTGCCTGCCCCTCTCCCTGACAAAGGCGGACCCTCTGCAGCCTGCTTCACTGACGCCAGCAGGAGCTCAATCACAAAGGCCTCCTCAGCACTGCTCAGAGCTGCAGTTAATACACAGAACAAAAAGATGCCACTTTGTTCTCTCACAGTGGACTTTAAACCAGAGGAGAGCATGCTGGATGGAAATCAATTACTTTCATTACTACTTCTAGTAATCCTTAAAACATTTGTTTCACGATACACATCGTTGCAAAGCAGCTTCACTGAAAATGAAAGTTTCTACATTATAATTAGGAGTAGCCTACTTTTATCAGTGGTGAGCAATCTTCCCTCTAAGCTGCGCAGAAATAATAATACGCCACGCACAGGACAGACGCAACAATGAGTTGGGAAAGCCATTTGACCTAATTCTAGTAAATACAAAATAATTGCAATGCTCGGGCAAACCACTATAGAGTTGGTGTCGCTATAGAACCGGTGAATGTAGGTTTCATAGAAAGAGAACGATGTGCGCCAAATCAGTCGCTGTAGAAATCGAATACTTTAATGGTTGCGGACGAAATAGACCAACACGAGATACATCGCGATCGCAATGACATGTGAAATAAAACCTCATCGTGTTTTTCTTTAAAACGGCTTGATTAAGTGAGAATTTTTTCAAATTATATTATATCACATTATTATAAAGAATTTAACTGTTCTGCATGAGATTTTTAAATGATTTTTTAATACAGTTTCTTGGTAAGTAACACTGTAAAAATGTTTTCTTAGATAACCTAAAATATGCATAATTTAGTTACATCAACGGTCAAATCAAATATAAATAGCACATTAAAGTTAAAAGTTACACACTTTTTAGTGTGCGCTGTACAGGTCTGGTATAAAGAATGTTTTTGCTCAGGTGGTCGAAATGTCCGCCCATTGAGAAAAGTTTTGCTCAGCAAAAAAAAATTAGAGGGACGTCTCATTTAGAAGGCTGCGCCCTCTGTGGGATGCATATACGAAGTGTCCTCAACCTAGAATTAAACGAGACAGGCGGAAAAGGAAACAGGAAGTATCACGTTGCTATGCCAACACATTTAGAGCATCGTTGCGCTCTCACACTACTTACATGAAGGAAAATTATTTCTAAATTTGGAAAGTAATTTGAAAAAAAAAATGCTTTTACTTGTTTTATTTCGTTCAATGTTTGAGGAGCTGCAGCATACGTACATCAGACATCTGTTCGAGAAAAAAAAGGAGGAGGATATTAAAAACAAAGTTTATCCGTTTTTACCGAGGCGATTTAAGGCAAGTTGTAAACACCACATCTGCGCTTGTGTGTACATCTTCCGGCGCCGGTGTCATGAGAAATCAAGTCCCCCCTCGAAATCGGGTCCGCTTAGGACCCCGAGTGATCCCATTGGTTCAACGAACTTTTAATGTGTATTACTTTTAGCGGCTGATTACAATTCCTGCAAAACCGCACTTTTTATGTCGTTTGAACTTCGTTATAATGACCATTGATGTCTTTTAAATTACATGTTTCATACGCTAGTATCCGAAGCTATAGGTTGTGAAATCAAACATTTCTCGTTTTTATTGTTTTTGGTTAGCTCACATACTAGCATAGCATACAGCTACCCGATTAGCCTGCTAGGTTAGCTTATACACCACGCATTTGCACTTACCAGACATATATTCACAACGAAATAGTAACATAAGTGGAGTGGGGGTTCAATCTTCAACTGGCTGGCAGGAGCCGCCACTGCAGCTGCCAGTTTAATGACTCTTACTGCAATGAAATTGTTTTATTATTATTAATGTATTCTTATGAATGTACTCTTTTATATCATAGGCATATAAGGGAGGTTTATCCTGAATAAAGGAGACAAATGGCCGTAACCCCGACTGGTGGGTCTGACGCTTCTCTGGCCGCTCAGTCCAGCCAGTGGCAATTGAGCTCTAATTTTGACGCATTCTCTACCACTCTAGCTGCAAGGAAATGCATTACTATTATTATTATTATAAATATATTCTCATTAATCTATTCTTTAAGATCATATATGGTTTAGGGGGTTTTATCCTGATTTAAGTGGTCAAATGATCGTGATCCCGACTGGTGGGTTGCCTACTCTTCAGTTTAGCCAGCTGCTATTGAGCTGCGAGTTTAACGCGTTCCATATGACTCTCACTACAATTTAATTCATTTTTTTATTATTATTAATGCATTCGTGTGAATCTATTATTTTATATGATTGACGTTTAAGGAAGATTCATCCCGATTAAAGCCGTCAAATTGCCGTGATCCTGACTGGTGGGTTACTGACGCTTCGCTGGCCGCTCATCCAGCCAGTCACTGTTAAACTTAAAGATTATCGCGTTCTACCACTCCCGTTGCAAGAAAATAAATAATTTTATTATTATGTACAGGCTATATTCATATGAATCTATCATTTTATATGATATATGTCTTAGGGAGGTTTATCCAGATTAAAGTGGTCAAATAACTGTTATCCCGACTGGTGGGTTACTGACACTTTAGTCCAGCCAGCCGCTATGAAGCTGCCAGTATAACACGTTCTCTACCACTCTCTCTGCAAGGAAATATATTATTTTATGTGAATTCATTCTTATGGGTCTGTTCTTTTACATGATCGACATTTTAGGGAGGTTTATCACAAATAAAGTGTTCAAATGACCGTGATCCGGACTGGTGGGTTACTGCCGCTTCAGTGCAGCCAGACATTTTCAGCTCTGAATTGAACGGGTTCCATATCACTCCATAAAACATCGAATATGTAAAAGAATAAAGTCATATGAACAGATGTACAATAAAAAGTTATATTATTATTCCCGTATAGAGTGGAAGGAGAGCAACATAAATCTGCCATAAATCAATGGTTCCTGACAGTGGACTTCCAGCCGCCAGGCAGCCAACCACGGGCAGATCACGTGACCTGCCAGAATCAGACTGCCAGCTGCCAATGGTCACTGGTGGCTGCCAATCAGTTAGGGATTGAACCCCTAATGGAGTTTAAGTTGGCTTTCTTTTATAGAATTATTAAAAAGCATTGCAGTTTGTCCTGTTGTCGCTGAAATTACTTTATGAGAAAGATTCTTGTTATTGGGATAATTCACGTTTTAATAGGCATTTTTATGCTGTACATTATTGCATAACAAATGTTATTACATAACATAAATCGTAAAATCGTTACAACTAGTGGCAGTATCCATACAAATTAGAATGATTTCCTTGGAATGAGAGGCAGCAGCGGCTGGCTGGTTGAGCGTCCAGCGAAGTGTCAGTAAGCAACCAGTCGTGATCACATTCATTTGGCTGCTTTTATTGGGGAAAAAACGAAAACGTCAATCATACAAAATAGTAGAGTCATAAGAATATAGTCATAATAATAAAAAATGTATTTCCTTGCAGTGAGAGTGATAGGGAACGCGTTATACTCGCAGCTCAGCAGCGGCTGGCTGGTTGAGCGTCCAGAGAAGCGTCAGTAAGCAACCAGGCGTGATCATGTTCATTTGACTGCTTTAATTGGGATAAACCACCTAAAAGGTCAATCATACAAAAGAATAGAGTCATAAAAATATATTTATAATATTAATATAATGTATTTTCATACAGCGAGAGTGATAGGGAACGCGTTATAGTCGCAGTTTAACCGGCTGGCTGGATTGAGAGTCAGTAAGCATGTAAAAGTAAAGAACTGAACAGGTTCACAATAAGAAATTGCACAAAACACCAAATCTGCCGAAAATTTATGGTTGCTGAAACTTTTTAAGGCATACTGCCAGCCAGCCACTGACAGGTCACGTGACCTGCCACTGGCAGCTGCCACCAACCACTGACAGGTCACGTGACTTGCCACTGGCAGCTGCCACCAACCACTGGCAGGTCACATGACCTGTCAGTGGCGGCTCCTGCCAGCCAGTTGAAGATTGAACCCCTACTGCATAAGTGTTGACTTTTGATCAGGCATTTAAAACAGCTGGTACTAAGCGGACCCGATTTCGAGGGGGGACTCGATTTCTCATGACACCGGCATTTTTTAATTGTGGGTTATCTGTAGCAGCGAAGGATACACCTCATGCATCCTCCGAATTCCTGTGAAAGAAGGTCGCATTCGGAGTGTCCTACTTGCTTTTCTGAAATGAGACCTCCGGAGGGCGCAGCCTTCTAAATGAGACACAGCTGATGCCAAGGTAGTCTCAGCCTCAGACGTCACGCCCACGGACCGTTGGCTAAACGTCTGATGCGTATGGAACACAAAAGTGGAAACACTTCAGGAGTGTCGAAGTCGTCATCGGATTGGTTGAATTCTACAGGATTTCCGGGAGACGTGTGTGTCGCGTTCTTTAACGTTCCGCCTGATTCATTTGACTGCTTTTATTGGGGAAAAAAAACAAAAACGTCAATCATACAAAATAATAGTCATAAGAATATAGTCATAATTATAAAAAATGTATTTCCTTGCAGTGAGAGTGATAGGGAACGCGTTAGGATTGGTTGAATTCTACAGGATTTCCGGGAGACGTGTGTGTCGCGTTCTTTAACGTTCCGCCTGAAAACAAAGATGCCGTGACGCCAGACCCCCTCACGAAAGAAGAAAGCCGTAGTGTTTACAACTGTGACGACGAGCGCTTATCAGGATCAACTAAACGCTGGAGTTTCAAAAGTATATGAAATATTTAAAGTTCGCGGCATAGAATCTTTAAAATACGTCCGAGAGTTTTACACACCGGGCTGTTATACTGTGGCGACCTTTCCACGCCCCGAAACGTGATGCTGAACGAAACGATCTGTGATTGGTTGTTTGACATGTCGGTCAAACGGCCTCATGGGCGGGCCTTGGCCAGTGAAAGCTGCCATGGATTCCAGGGCCCGGTTGCATGAAAGTCCTTAAGTAATTTGACTTGGGGTATCCCTGAGGGGGAAAAAATCCCTGAGGTAAGGGATTTCTTTAGGAGCGTTGCAACAATCGTCTTAACTGTCACCCTTACCTAAGTGTTTATACTAAGCGTTTCACGGTAATGTTAGTTTCTGGCAACATACGGCAATAGGCGCCGCGGTTACTATAGTTACTACAAAATATCTCAAAATAAACAGATATATCTATGACAATAAAGAGAACATAATGAAATACAAACCTAACTAACTAAAACACAGACAAACATTAAATAAGCATGAGTGCTGCCCGTTTCTGTTTGTGTACAGTCGTTACCGAGGAAACCGCTTTGTTTCTGCAGTGAAAGCGCTTCCTGCTGACCAATGACGGAAAATTTACCAAATGGGAAAATTAACCCATGTTTTGAGGCACAAACACGCAGAGTTGTAAATGTGAACAGGTGGATTGACAAGATAATGCATTATAAAAATCTAAACAATTAAGACAAATTATATTTATATTGTTATTTGTAATAATTGATTAACAATATTTGTTTAAATTTATATCATAATTGATACAACTCGTCCATTTACTTAAAAAGTTATGTAAAACTTTTTTTGTGAAAACCTGTAAGTCATGCCATTTACAGTCATTTTACAGTTGAATATGTTACCATAGTCATTGCCCTACTGCGCTCATATGATATTTTATTTGTGCAGGTCTTAAAAAATTCTTAAGTCTTACATTTGAGTTTAAAAATCCTGCAGATACTGAGTTTAAGATGACTTAGAGCTCGTTTGGTCCCTTAAATTTATTAAGGTGAAACGGTTACTAAGGACTTTGTAGCAACACTTAAGGGAACACTTAAATAATTAAGGGGAATACTTAATGGCAGCCTTAAGGTTCCTTAAGTTGACCCTTAGGGTTTTTTCTTGCAACCCAAGTTTCACTAAGGGCTCCCTTAACCTTATAACTAAGGGATTTCTTAGCATAAGGGCTTTCATGCAACCGGCCCCAGACAGTCTGAAGGTCTGGCTACGCGAGACTAATGTCAAGGTGATGTCCATAAGGTAGAAATGTACAATTCTAGACTAATAATAATCATGCAGTTAGTTAATGACATGTATTCAAACAGAAATGGAGAACACGATTAACAGCAATGATTATGTAGTGATTAAGATTATAGTAATGTAAGGAAAATGTGTTAGTTTTGTATGTTGGTTTAGCGTTGGCACCCATATTGGCGTCCATGAAACATATTAGTCAAAACTACAGGGTGTTATTTGAATATTTTAACTTATTGTAGTTTTATATACAGTGCCTTGCGAAAGTATTCACACCCCTTCATATTTTTTTTTTACATTTTGTTATGTTGCTGCCTTATGATAAACTTCTTTAAATTACTTTTTTTCCACATCAATCACTCCATACACCATACTGACAAAGCAAAAACAGAATTGTCACAACTTCTTAATTTATTACAAAATAAAAAACTGAAATAAGTACATTGCACAAGTATGTAAATATTATAACTAAATATTTAGCTGAAGCACCTTAACAGCCTCAAGTCTTTTTTTTGTTTGATGCGACAAGCTTTGATCATCAGCATTTTGCAATTATCTGTCATTCTTCACCTCACCTCTTCACCTCTCAAGCTTTGTCAGGTTGGATGGGGGCAGATGCACATTTTCAGGTTTCTCCAGAAATATTTGACTGGATTCAATCCCAGGCTCTGGCTGGGCGACTCAAGAACATTCACACAGTTGTCTATAAGCCACTCTTGCTGTGTGCTTAGGGCCATTGTCCTGTTGGAAGGTGAACCTTCTGCCCAGTCTGAGGTTCTGAATGCTCTGGACTGGGTTTTTATTAAGGCTATTTCTATATTTTGCAGCACTGAGCATTTCTTCTACTCTAACGAGTCCCTCAGCCCCTGCCGCTGAAAAACAGCCCCACAGCATGAGGCTGCTACCAGCACACTTTACTTTTTGGATGGTACTCTGCAGATGATGAGCAGAGCTGGTTTCCTTCAAACATGATGCTTAGAATTTAGGTTAATCAGACCAGATAATCTTGTTTCTCACAGTCTGGGGGTCCTTTAGGTGGTTTTTTGCTAATTCTAAGTGTGTTTTCATGTGTCTTCACTGAAGAGAGGATTTAGTTTGGCCACACTGCCATAAAGCCCAGATCGGTGGAGTGTTGCAGTGATGTTTGTCCTTCTGTAGATTTCTCCTATCTCCACATATGATCATGGAGCTCAGCTAGAGTGACCATCAGGGTCTTGGACACCACACTAACCAAAGCCCTTCTCCATCAATTGCTCAGTTTGGCCAGGAGGCCAGCTCTAGGAAGAGTCCTGGTTGTTTCAAACTTCTTCCATTAAGGGTAACAGAGACTACATGCTTCTGTGACCCTTCAATAAAGCAGAATATTTTTCTGAACTCAGATGTGTGGCTTGACGCAAACCTGTTTCTGAACTCTACAGGCAGTTCTTTTGACCTCAGGGCTTGGTTTTTGCTCTGATATGCATTATCAGCTGTAAGACCTTTTATTAAGACGTGTGTGCCTTTCCAAATCATACCCATTCAATTGAATTTGCCACAGGTTAACTTCATTTGAAGTGTAGTAATATCTACAAGCAAAATGAATGCTCCTGATTTAAATTTCAACTGTCCCAGATATATGAATACTTATGCAATGGAATCATTTTAGTTTTTTATTTTTAATAAATTTGCAAAGATGTTAAAAATCTGTTTGTTTTTTTTGCTTGACAATTATGGTGTATGGAGTGTAGATTGTTGTGGGAAAAAAACAAATTTAAAGCAGTTTAACATAAGGCAGCAACAAAACAAAATGTGAAAAAAATGAAGGGGTATGAATACATTCGCAAGGCACTGTATAATTGTAAATATGTTAAAGGATGAAAATCTCTGCGAAGATGTAATAAATGCTACTGATAATGCAGAACTGCAATGAAGAAGCATACTGCAGTGTGTACTGTAGTGTGTACTCAAGTGTACTAGCCTTGTTCCTGACAGGATGTGTGAGGTAAGAGCAGTGAGGTAAGACCATTCCAGTCCTTCAGCAGAGCTCCTGCACTGTCCCACAGACTATCCACAAGGTACAGCACATGCTGGTGCAGCTATGACAGAAGGTTAGAACCAAAAATGCCGGATAGCACAAGCACCAGATCTCAGAGCACAAGTAGCCTAATACCCCAATATCTTATTTTTAAGCATAGAACACACAAGCGCACACTTGGAGGTAACATACCTCGCTCTCAGTGTGGAAGTGGATAAGGGCTCGGACTCTGGCTAAGACTAACTCTCTGTCTCTCTCCTGTTCGGAGGCTCCGTCTCTGGGCCTTGATAATTCAGGGTTACCGAGCAGCCTAAGAGCAGAGAAATTACACCATGTTAGCAAATCAATTAAAGTAAGTATTACTTACAGCTATCATTTACATATACATACATGTTGGACACAAATGGGATGGGTTTTGTAGAATGACAATGAACACAGACCTATTGTAGAGGAATTCACCCGCAGTGGTAGCAAGAGGTCTGTGGGAGCAGTACACAAATTGGAAGAAGTTTTTGTGCTCATCAGGACTCAGAACATCCTCACAGGATCTGACACAAAAGGGACAATTCCAGCAATTACACGAGGAACGGTCCAGAATATGCTTCACAGAGGCGAAGTCAAAGCATGGGTGATCAAACTCTATGAGAAATAGTCAGCATGAGGAGCAAGGGGAGATACTTACTGAGAGATGACCATGAGCAATCTCATGGCCTGTATGGCCACTTCATGGTCTTTATCCAGAGTCATGGAGATTATCCTCTCCTTCAACAGAAACAGCATTCAATCGCTAATGAAAACACTTTAACTACCTGCTATGAGAGAAATCTTATCCCGAAAACCTACAACAGGACTTGAGTTAAAGACCCACGATGCACTTAAGCAGCTCTTTAAATCACGGTTGTGCTAATGTGCTTGCTGCTGTTAGTGAGGGTGGGGTCCTGTGGGAAGTTATCAGGCCAGTGAGCCCAAGGCAAAACCTGAGGGGCTTTCCAGCCTGTCAATCAGCAATCATGCACTCCTGCTGTCCCACTGCAGCTTTACTGGACCTTAACTTAAAAACTGCCAAAGAAGCTTACGGACTGCGTCCATTTGAGAAGTTTGGGCAAAACAGCAAGATAAACTTACAGCCAGTAAACAACTCTCCACAAAGAGGTTTATTTTTCTACAGCAGTTACTCTCAGGTACAGTTTGAGCTTAAAACTGTGTCCGGGTATGTGATAGACAGTAGTCGCGATAAAGTCATGAAAATATGAGATTTTATTCTAAACACCTGTGATGGCAACAAGTGGAACTTTTGTAAGTTGCTTGGTTTCTGTAGCAACATGTTAAGTAGCTTCATCCACATTGAAGTATCTTTGAGCCATTCAGCTGTGTTGCACACAACTGTATATCATACATCAAATATGTTCTAATTTGATGTGACTGTGGCATGGTTTACAGCATTTTTGTGTAGAGTTCACAGACAAATTTTCCAGAAACTTGTGTTGTGCCTGGTTAGGGACATGAGGTGTATCCCAGTTCATGCATCCGTTTTGAGGTATAAATAGTGTGAATAGTGTGTTCACAATGAAGACAAAAGTGCACTTCAAATACATGGATAATGCACTTAACTGACCGAAAAAATGAAGTGTAATTCTGAAAACTTTGCGCACTCAACAGTCACAGCTTTCCTAACATAGTGTATAGTGCGTCATTTCGGACACAACTATAGGGTGAGAATGTGGAAGCAGTTGTTACCTTAAACCGTATCGTGAAAAGGTCCATTTTGGAACAACTTTGATCCTGATAAAGTCCCTGTAGACCCAGCACACATTTCAGACGCACATCAGGTTGCTGTAAAATATTAAAAAAATAAAACATGCAGTCAAATATCAACTCTACTATATTCAAAAAATAAAACACACAGTCAAACATCAACTCAACTCATCAACAAGTGACATGGGTAAACAGCTAAACATTTAAAAATAAATTGTTCTTTAAACATTAGGCTACTGGCGCACCTACCTTGTCATGCATCATCCATCCCACGTACTTCAGATAGCTGTCGTTCAGAAACACTGAACTATACAGCTTCATCCACATCGTCAGTTCCTCCATACAGATGGCCCTGATTTCAGGAATCACGTCTCTGGAAGTCACCACACAGTGATGATGGTACATAGTTGTTTTTTCTTCCTCAAGGAAGTGAGGACTATAAGTGTGGTTGAAATAAAGATCACCTGTATCTCTTCAGGAAGACTCCTTTGAAAATGGCATCCATCATGTTCTCAATTTCAAATTTCCTTTCCTGTAACTGAGGAATGAAAGTAATTCATTCAGTTTGATTATTCACATGATCCTTGCCTTGTTTTCTGTATTTCACTGACCTAACTGTTTCCTGTACATCAACACTACCATTCAAAAGTTTTGGGGTCAGTAATACTTTTTTTTCAGCAAGGATGAATTAAATTGATCAAAAGTGAGAGTAAAGACATTTATAAAGATTTCTATTTCAAATAAAGGATGTTCTTTTGAACTTTGTTCATCAAAGAAACCTGAAAAAAAGTATCATGGTTTCCATAAAAAAAGTTTAAGCAACAAAACTGTTTTCAATAATGATAATAATAGGAAATGTTTCTTGAGCACCGAATCAGCATTCTAGAATGATTTGACAGTGAAGACTGGAATAATGGCTGCTAAACATTTAGCTCAGATATTTGCTTTGGTAGACATTTGTATGTCTGTTTGAAATGTGCATGTCACTTACACCAGTGAGTGTTAGAGTATCGTATTTACAAAGTGATTTAGACCATGTATTATATTTCTGTAGTTATGTTTACTTGCCAAAGCCAATTTTTACTCACACTTAGGACTTGGCGATTGTCAGTTTTAGACCCGGACTACAGTCCAGAATGAAATGTTGAACTCTGTAACCACACATGTGGTCACAGTCTAACCTCACTGATCTTTCTCTGGATCCTGTCCAGCCTCGGAGAAGCCCGTTTGCTGGCCATCTTGGCCAGCTCGACCTCGTACAGCCGCTGACTGTTATCGACACTGACACTGAGGTTGAGAGCCACATTCACCAAAGCGCTGAGCAGCTTCACTGCTGCAGAGACACACACACAACAAAACATCAGCTTTCGGGACGTGTGTGTTTGGTTCAGGTCAAGAGGATTTAAGGTTCAGGGGGAACTTACCTGCTAGCGTACAGGTATGCCTGAAAGCACGAACTCTGGAATCGGAGAGCTCTGTCAGCAGTGAAATGAGTGTGTTCAAGAGGTAGCCGTCAAAGATTACACAGTTCTGACACTGCGCCACTAGCACCGATACGAACTCACAGAAGTGTGAACGAAACCTCTTCCAGTACAGGCCGGACATGATGAGGGGATACTCGCCACCGTCCTAAGGAAAATGGAGAGAGGATCAAGATGGAAAAATAGTTTTGTCATACACTACCATTCAAAGGACTAGTCAGTAATTTTTTTAAGAAATTAAATACTTTTATTTAGCAAGGACACATTAAATTGTTCAAAAGTGACAGTAAAGACATTTGCAGTGTTACAATAGATTTCTATTTCAAATAAATGCTGTTATTTTGAACTTTCTATTCAGTCAAAGAATCCAGAAAAATCTATCATGGTTTTGACAAAAATATTAAGCAGCATAATGGTTTTCAACATTGATAATAATAACAAATGTTTCTAATGTTCAAATCAGCATATTAGAATGATTTCTGAATGATCATGTGACACTGCATCGCAGGAAAAATTTTAAAATACATAATAAAAATCAGTTTAAATTGTAATAATATATATTTTTAAATACTATATATTTTTTTTTAGTTTCAAAATCAATTGTCAAATGAGGCAACCAAGGTCAACATGATCATACTAATCAGCAAAATTAGGTGTAGTGCCTTGAACCATACCATGTCCAGAGGCCATGTGACAGTTAAAATCCATGGAAATGCAAGGAACTTCTTGTATTGTAAACCTGTATCCTGTGATTTAAAAAAAAAAACACACACACAAATCAGTAAGTGCAAGGAACACGGGAAAGCAGTCAATGATCAGCACGCTGGATGTCTAACCTCATCCAGATCCTCCACCATTTTACTCATGACATCAGTACCCTTCTTGCTCTGAAACATCTCTGCTGTAACCATCCCTACAAAAGCACAAACAGCATTCACATCCTGAATGACAATATATGTTAGACACAAGCCACAAAACAAAAAAACACTGAAAATTAACTACTTATATTAGTCAGTACTGTTGTGAAATGACATTCTATTATGAAAGAGAGCACAGACATTTCAAAACTTGCCTTTGCATCCTGAACACTGGATAAAGAAGCTGATGAGATCGAGCAGTGCTGTGTCTCTGTCACCAGTATATGCGTCAATCCAGTCATCCACCACAGCCTTTCACAAAACAAACCAAACATCCATAATAAAGATTTGTTTAAATCTATATGACCTAAAAAGAAAGGCTGATCATGCTGGACGTACCTGCATGGCACTCCTGCCCATGCTGACCACTTCAAACAACGTGACGGCTTCCACATCTCCATTTTTGAGCTGTTCGTTCTCTGCTCTGCCCAGGCTGCCATTACTGCACTTTGAATGCTTTCGTTTGGCATTCTCAGAGCATTCCCTGGCTTTCCTCTTTCCTCTCTGCACATGACAAAATATACTTCTAAATTAGAAATGTTCTTACAGCAAATCTCAATACGAAGTCTGTTGTACTACTATAAAAGTCTATGAGATGTAACATTAGGGTGACCATACGTGCCATTTACCCAGGACGCGTCCTGGCCAGGATTTCTATATTGCCTAAAATATCTAGGTTTTGGCTTTGTTTGCGTGTGCAGACCAATCGGTGTATGACATCAAAATACCTCGAGAGCATTTTGAAAGCATAAGGAACCGTCTGTATGGTATTTTGATGTCATACACCGATCGGTCTAGATAAACCTAGATATTTTAGGCAATATAGAAATCCTGGCCAGGACGCGTCCTGGGAAAATGGCACGTATGGTCACCCTATGTAACGTATTGTTAGGGTTTAAAAAAAACATTGTGGTTTTAGCAGATCTTACCACAGTCTTCTGTCTGTTTTCATTTCTCTCACTTGTGACGTGATGCACCGATGCACAGGAAGAGACGTCAACTACTGAGTTCTCTCTGAAAACAGGATGCACAGGCAGTTGTTTATCTGTACACATAGAACATCTTGAATAATAAAATGTAATTAAATTGGGATATTTAAATAAGGCTGCATTAAATCTAAAACGGTATTGAGTCTGTTTTATAATGAAAATGCAGAGGTAGTTTGCAGGTGTCTCACTTTTGCACCGATCTGGACAATAAATTTGGCTCTGCTATCATCTCCTCTCAGATCATAGTTGGACTAGGAACAAAAGAAAAACAATTTAGAAATGTTAATGATAATTAAATTGAGTATCATGTAAGTGCTTCAATGTTCCTATATCATTGACAATAATATTTGTAATATTTGTTACACACCAATTATCAAATATATGTGCAAACCTGTTATATGTAATCTGCAATAAAATGTAACACTATGCATCTAAAAAGATAACATACCTTTGCATTTTATTTACCCAGTTCACTCTAAATCGAACAAAGAAGTTCTAAAATATTGGCCTTGGTATCCTTATTTTCCAGGATATAATGTGTTTTTATTATGCAGCCTAACCCAGTGGTTCTCAACCTTTTGACTCCCATTGTCTATACAAGACCATATTTAAAAGTAATATTTCCTTAGGTACTGCTATAATGTTGACAAAGCTGCTTGTTTTTATATATTTTATATTCACAGAAACTAGATCAATAGATTTAAACATTTAAGAGCTCTTTTGCAGTGGCTTTCCGTGATTAAATAATTTACCACAGTAAATGCAAACTAGCAAAATGTTTGTTAAAATATATATATATATATAAACATTTCGCTTCCACTTTAACTGAATAAGTCACGTCTCATAACGTACAGTTTTAAGGTACAGTTTGGATGCAGACGTGAAAAACTCGAGAAACACACATACACAAAAACATAAGGTGACAAGTGACCCAATCTTGGATGCCATTGGCTGAGGTGCACGTCAACGAACCAAACCCAAAAACCTGATTGGCTAGTTCGAGTGTCAATCAGAATTCTCCCATTTCTCTGTTACTGTGCCATATTGAAACAAAAGCCTCGTATGAGAACCTGCAGCTTCATTCATCTGAATGTACGAGCGGCTCGAAACGTTAACAAATCTGTCAGGTTTAGAACAAGGCTCGCATGCCACTGAGTTTATTATTTAAACTATAAGCACAGAAAGGACAATCGGGATATAGCTGACTTCTAGGCTTTATTATAGACTTGCTGTTATCTATATGTATATCAAGATAACGCGTTCGCAGCTTAATGAATCTTACCAGTGACAGTCATCTTGATCGGAGGATTAATGTAAACTGCACGACACGTATAGATTTGGCTACTCCCAGTTAGTTCAACACAGCCGCGTGCCGTGCACGTCAACGAGCGCGCGCTGTACGTCTGACGTAAGCTCATCGAGGCATATTGCATAACTTCAGCAAATCAGTTTAACATTTTCTCAGTACATTTTTTTTTTTCTTTTTGCTCTTTGTACTTGGAAACTGTACCCCACATCTTCTGGCACTGTAGTTATGTTAAAAAGTTATGGTATGATGTCTCTATGTTTATCAAAGAAAAGGTACACTTTAATTTTAATTCTGTTTATTTTAATGTAGTTTTTTTATATTTTAATTATGATAATGTAAATAACGAAGTTTTTGTTATTAATCTGTTTATTTTGTTGGTTAAGTTTCACATTCATAAGTGTAAATTTTCTAACAAAGAAACCCTGTTTTACAGTGTTTTTGAAAGAGTTGGAAAATTACTTGTGTACTATTCAACATAGTACTAATAGAAAGGCAATTAAAACTGTCAGTTTGTGTTCTGTCTTCAAAATTTTTGAGTAATGTAAAGGTCATGCATGTCTCTGAATATGTGTGTATATGTTTTTTATTTTTTTACCTTTTCTTTTATCCTTTGCTACCCTGGCTTTGTATTGTTTTGTATGTCGTTTAAAACATAAGAAAAGAAAAAACCTCCGGCAAATCAGTTTACCATAATACTGCTACTACGAATAATAAGCTTAATTTATACAGCATTTTTCATAAATACTGCTTAAATAAAGTGTATATGTAAGTGAAAATATAAAACTATACCGTATATAATCATTGAATATAATAAATTCTAATATGTAATAAGAATAAATAAATACACAAAATTAGAAGGCATTCGCTTCTGATCACCGTGTTTGAGTTTATTTTGCAACAGCGACTGAATGACTTAGAAGGCTGTAGATATGAAATCACAGGTGTGATGCTGATGAACAATGCTAGCACCATCATGTACAGAATGGAAAGAGCATGTGCAACAGTCACTTCAAGTATACAGATGCATTATAAAATACATTATTGCACAGGTTTTTTTTTTTTAAAGAAACAATCATCTTCATGTATGAAAACTCAGAAATCATGAGCCAACAATGCTAAAAAAAATCTAAAATGGTTCAAATAAATTACTCGTACGTGGTAGTACACATTTTCCTTTTCATTTTTCAAAGTCTTATATATCTGGATCACATTATCACAGTCTTTCCTGTGGCCTATACAGATGAATAAATCAATGAACACAAAACAAATCTCTATAAATATGTTTTCAGGAGAACCACTTCATTCGGTGACAATTTCTCACCCTTCACTTCAGGCACTGTAGATCCAACTGTTAGGAGAGGTTAGAGACAAATTCCATGACTGGATTGAGGTCTTCGGTGAGCTCTTCTGAGAGTGACAGTACCGTTGATATCACAGTTTGTGTAGACTCTGAAACCCTGTGAAAAGTAGATTCATTAATTATGCTGGATTACTTTTGCTTGGAAGCAAAACCACTCTCACCAGCTCATGTGATGTGCTGGCAACTGAGGATCCAGCTTCGACCCTTCCTCTTTCGAAAGAGACATCTTCAGCAGCTTGAAATTGGCCTCAATTTCCTTTTTTATGATGGATAATGGCAAAATATCTTTGAGCGAGTTTAAGACTTGCTGTAACAGAAACAAACAAAATGATACACAGAATCAACTTTCTTTGGTTTAGTTTTTTTTAAAAGGTCACATACTGTAGATAAAATGATGATCAAGTCAAACAAACTCACATGAATTGCTGATAGCTGATGTGCGATGTACTTATGACTGTCCAGATGTTTGACATCTTCATCTAACTGCTGACTGAGAACCAGCAGCTGATTCAGCCTCCCAATATGAGGAAAATAAGCTGGAATGATAAAACATTTCCCAATCAAACTGATTAATCAGCTATGCTTTATTAAAGAACGCACTGATTAGGTGTAAATAAATCTTCCTGTGTTTAAAATATGTGAGATTCTAGCACTTTTTAATTGTTTGTTTGTTTGTTTTAATAGATTGTATATATTATACACATACTATAAATGTATTAAAGAGGCGAGCTCGCTAAATATTTCTAAAAGATAAAAAATAATTTTTTTTAGAATTCACTTTTATGCAACATTCTATGTTGTCTTTTATTATTACTATTATTATTTCCATTTTTGGTATGCATTTTATGTATCATAAAGTGCATTTTTAATATGTTATATTAATTTACTAATATACTTGATGCTTTTTGTAATGTTTTTTCATTGTAAAGCACTTTGAGCTGCATTTCTTGTTTGAAAGGTGCTATTTAAATAAAGTTTATTATTATTATTATTATTACCCACATAGAGTCCAAAGCACTGGGCAGTGAATGTTACTGTACCCAATTATCATTCTCCCCATTTATTCTGTGGTCTCACCATCTGAAGGTGGTCTTTCCAACATGTCAATAGGGCTGCCATGTATCATATAAACTTCAACTCGAGGGAATAGAGTGGATAATCCTACAACTTCCAAATACTCCTAAAGAAATGGAAATAAATGAAAACACATCATCCAGAAATGGGTTAAAAGGAATGGTTAATTGTTTACCTCAAGCTGAAGCACCGGTTCATTGAGATGTTCAAGGCACAGGTTCATCTGATATATTATCTCAGCCCCTATAAACAGAATCAAATTTAGAGGTTGTAAACATATTTGATAGCAATTACCAATTTCGATTTTCAGTAAAAAAGTGCAGCAGCAAATACAGAAGTGGCACGAGGTGTTTTTTTCTCTGCGCTTTTAAGGATGGGCCAACCACAGTCTGGGTGAGAATTTCTGAGGTGAAATGCTGTTTTATGTCATACAAATAAATGTAATCGCCTATCATTTTTTTACTTCACCCTCTGGTATTGTTCATTTGGAATCAAAAGTGACTGAACACGTGAAATTTAACTTTTTCTTATTTTCAGTAAAATCAATGTAATATATTTTGTTCAATAATACTTTTTCATGAGAGAATTAATGAGAGACTTTCATGGTCCAAATAATATTTCTGCAATAATTATGATCAATTGTTGTGTAATTATTGATTTTGTTTCTAAAATTTTTATATTACTTTAGTTTTCAGTTATGGCAGTATTTCATGTTAAAATAGAGACAATGCCTTCAAAAATCCAAGTGCCATGTGGTGGGAGTAATAAAAGAAAAACACCTGCAATTGCATGGTTTAGCCACTAGATACCTACTTAGCCCTATATAAAAAGGCTTATAAATTCTCTAGTTGTTTTTAGACAATACTTACTTTTTTTAAGTTGTGGATTTGGATATATATTTAGACATTGTCAAAGACAACTTTTTGTAAAGGTATAGATTTTTTTGTTTGAAATGTCAGTTTTTGCATTAATTTTACTAGTCAAACCTGAACACTAAGACATTTTGTTACACAACACCAAAATTCAACAAAAATGTAACAAAAATGAACAGGAATGCTTTATCAGAGGTTAATCAATCTGATTTCAACCTCTTATTTAAGTCTTCTGGCTCAATTTTGCCATATTGGTACAGCCACACCAGTTCATTTTTGTGTGTTGTGTGTGTGTGTGAGTGAGTGAGTGTTTGAGTGGGTATGTCTGTTTTGTATTTTTGATGGTTTAGACTAGTGTAACTCCTTCCTTGGTGTCTGTGCAGTTTTTACTGCATTGTGGCTGAATTATTGATTTTATTTCACGCATTTGCAAAAACATGCGTTGTGTTAGTCACACTAGTTCATACCATTTTAAATACATTTTTATGTATAATTTCATTCATTATATATTGTTCTAAAAAAAAGTACCCATACAAATGTACAATATACAATAATTAGTATTTAAATGCCAGACAAAGAAGGATAACTGTTTTAATTTTGTTCTCTAAATATATTTAATTTCACTTTATCAATCAAACAAAGAATCATTAATAAAAGTATGGAGCTATTTCCAATGTTTATTAAATAGTAATAAACATACACATGAAAAATCTTAAGACCTGTTCCATGATTCCAATGAATTATAATAAAACACTGCTTATTTAGAAGTTGTCACGCATATTTAAAGTGACAGGTATACTAAGAAATCAAAGTAAAAAAACAAAACATTTAAATAGTGTGCTGATAAAGAAAACAATACGTACACAGTACTGATATCTTGTATTACAAAAAAACAAACAATCATTTTCCTGCAAAGCTTCAAATTAAAAAAAAAAATACAGCTGTAGTTAAACATTTTTTCTATCACAATAATTTCCTCAAGAAGTGCATCTGAAAAAAATAAATCCGTTAGCAGAACTTTGCCAAGCTATTTTAAAAAAAGAAGTCCTGCTTTTGTCACAATTATTCATTTACATGCTTCATAATACAAAACAGCAATAAGTTCCATCATATTTCTGCTCCTTTTTGTGACAATATGATACACCAGCAGAAGAGTCCATTGGCTGCAGCAGAAAACCTGAATTTCCCTTGAGTTAGAGCGGAATTGATTTACTGATCAGTCTGGTGAAATTTCCCAAGAGACACGAAGTTATGGCCGTCCACCAGGATTCAGCGTGAGATTAGCCATGAGCTCATGAACCGCTGCAAATATTGTGCACTCTCCTGTTGGAAAAAATAAAAAAGCTAGCATTAAAATTGATATGTAAATATAGAAACATTAAATGTTAAACAAATAACAGAGAAATATTTTATTCTGATTTCCATATCAATTTAAATATTCATATTCAACAAAACAGATGTGCAAACCTTGTCGTGGTGGATGGTGCTCATTGAACCTCCTGAGGATGGAGCTGACCATCAGGGCCGCGGCTCCCGAAGAGCTGTGCTGGCGGGGGATATCAGCCTGCTGGGTCAGTCCAGTAGCCATGTCATACACAATAGGCACTATGATGCTGATGGGCTCCTGGGGTACCGGTAGCCTCTGGGTCAGCTGGAGCTGTGGAAGAGCATCACTTCAAGTTAATACATGTTAGGAATCCATAGTAAACTCAAACCACAGCCCACACACAAGTTGCTGGGCGTACAATAGCCGGAATATTAGTGTAATAACAAAATTAGAATTCAGGACATGGTCATATAGGGTGAGATCATATTTTAAAAGGAGACATTGCAAACCAGAATGGAATGATTGAAGCACTTACAAAAAAGAGCATCTTGGTCTTAAGCACCACAGCAATGGTTCCTGGTGGGGCAATGGGAGGAGCGCTGGGTGGGATGGTCAGACAGAACTGCACATTCCAATTCAGCTGGGCCGCTTGGTCTGGGAACTAGAGGAAAAACAATGGGCCAGTGAGCTTCCAAATGAACAACAATACCACTCAAAAGTTTAGGAAGTTATTTTTTTTATTGTTTTGGAAAGAGGTCTCATACTAACCAAGGTAAAAACAGAAATATTGTGAAAAATTACAAATTAAAAAACTGTTTTCTATTAGAATATATTTACGCATTTTATTCCTGTGATGGCAAAGCTAGATTGTTGCTTAATGCTTTACATTTTCAGAAGCCATTATTTCAGTCTTTAGAGTTACATGATGCTTCAGAAATCATTTTAAATATGCTGATTTGGTGCTTAAGTGATACTTTTTTCTGGATTTTTTTTTTTATTAAAAAAAAGGTCAAAAGAACAGCATTTATTTGAAATCTTTACTGACCATATTAATGTATCCTTACTAAATACAGGGTTTCTGCAGACTTGAACAAGTTCAATTTAAGACTTTTTAAGACCTTTTTAATACCACCTTATATGAAATTTAAGACCTAACCCTGTAATGGAAATACATATTTTATTACATACATATATGTACATGCAGAACATGAATGCATTTACACACCGTTTCATGCAGAACATGAATGCATTTAACCTGCAGTTACAAATGCATAAATAATGTTTTGATATATTAAACATAAAACATTGAATACTGATATTTGAAATAATTAAAAAAATGAAAAGATACTTTAAATGTGAAATTAAAACCGCCAGTAGGTGGCAGCGAGTCACTGTTAATAAGTGAGTCATTGCGACTGAACCGAATCATTTAATCGAGTGATTCATTCGGGAACGAAACACCGTCATGTTGTTCAGTGTTATTTAACTAGATCATGTTATGAATAAACTAAACATTTTGAATTTTTACATCAGTGTGTTTCTTCTGAGGTCATGTGTGCTGTCACTCTCATTTGTTCTGAACTGAAGTCTCGAGACAAACAGAGTGAGCCTCAGCACGAGCTTGGGGTCTGTGTTCCGCTAACTTGCTGCAATTATCTCTGATGACGCACTAACGGTCTGTCCAATGATTGTAAAGTCATTAGGTCCGTCAGACTGAAGATATTTTAGCGGTAATGAGACCAAAAATATTTAAGACCCATCGAATCCGAATTTAAGACATTTTAAGACTTTAAGGCCTTATATTAGGAAAACGTTATTTAAGACATTTTAAGACTTTTTAAGGACCCGTGGACACCCTGTAAATAGAAGTATGAATTAAAAATCTAATTGACCACAACCTTTGGAAACGTCGTGCATGTTTGCACACGACCAAAAATAAAAGATTCAAATAAACATGAACGTGCTTACCAACTCCAGTTTCATGATGCGAACACAGTCTCTGAGTATGTTGGTGGGAGCTCCTAACAGCTTTGTGAAGGCATTTAGTGTGTTGTATTTAAAGGGTGGTCCTGCAACCTATGGTGAAAGTGAAAGAGAATGACTTGCATTTGCATGACTGCAGAATACCTGGCTTGATGGTATGGCCAAGATGGCCGCTGAGTGAACAGATTTGCTTTAAATATGAAAAAAAAAAATGCACAGCTAATTGCAACCAACAGAATAGTGAAGATAAGTGTTTTCAAACTAGTTTTAAACAGGTAGTCCCAAACTGATATTAAGCCAATGTTGTTAAATCAGGACATTCAAACCAACACATTACAATTCTCTCAGCTGCTACCTTCCAATACATAAACTGAACAAGAGGAAATTTGACCTTCATGATAGTGAGTTGATACAGTGAGTTTTTTCCTACCCTGGTCTCAAAGAACTTCTCCAGGACCTGCAGCTCCTCCTGCGACCAGGGTCCAGTGTTTTCTGGTGTGACTTTCAGCTGCAGAGTCTGGTAGGTTTTGGGGTTTAGAGCCACTCTACATTTAAGCACTTCTGTCTTAAACATGATGACACCTGGTTCGTTGGAGTTCACAATAGTAAGCTGTTAAGAGAAGGTAATCGAGAGTGATGCAAATACAGTGTATAAGCAGAATCATATCACTTTGACTGGTTAAATTATGTGGTTTCTGACTCACATTGGGTTCTAACTGTATGATTCTCTGTAGGTGGCGTCTCATGATGACAGAACCCAGGAAGCGCTCCAGAGGTGAGCACAGGTAGCTGCCCGCCAGCCCTGGCACTGGGCATGGCATGGGTGAAGGCAGAAGCAGCACATGTAGTTTGCTGTGGGTGAGGATGGTGGGAATAGAAGCGGCCCAGGACCGCTGTGGCAGTTTAAGGGATGCAGGCATTGCCTGTGAACCTAAACACAAACACACAGTGATTGATTGAACAAAATCAACTACTGCTTATTGCTGGAAGTCATATGAAATGCAAATAATGTTAAATTCTCTCATTTACACAATTTTTGGGGGGAAATTTGTAGTTTTATTAAGCAAGGACATGTTAAATTGATCAAAAGTGACAGTAAAGACATTTATAATCTTACAAAATATATACAATATATATATATTTTTTTACTTTCTATTCAGCTTGAATCCTAAAAAATGTATCATGGTTTACACAAAAATATTAAGCAGCACAACTGCTTTCAAAATAAGATGAATTGTTTCTTGAGCACCAAATCAGCATAATAGAACGATTTCTGAAGGATCATGTGACACTGAAGACTGGAGTAATGACTGCTGAAAATGCAGCTTTGCCATCACAGGAATAAATTAGTAAATTCAATTTAAATCGTTTTTAAAAAAAAAGAAGCTATTTTGATGTTTTTGAGTTTTACCTTGGAGAGCATAACAAACTTCAAAAACATTAAAAAATCTTTACAAATCAAATTTTTGAATGTCGAACCTAGGACAAACTAAGTAATTATTGGGAGGATCTAGGTTATATTTTACCCCCAAAATCAAAAGAATTCATAATAAATACTGGGTCATCTATTCTTGATGTCTACCTTTACAACCATCAAGATATTTTTCATTGCAGCAAAGCCAATTAAGAAGAAAACCTCTAGCTGCAATTTAATAATAATAAATAATAATTATCATTACTGTAATGTGGAAAAAAAAATTATATTTAAAAAATAATAAGTAAAATACTGATCTTATCGTGTTCTGATAAGATCGATCAGTCTTTAGACTCTCTGGACTTACTGGTACCAGTTCGAGGAGAGTGGGATGGGTCTGGAAAAGGTGAGTGCAAAGAAGGGTTGCCTGGTGACATGCCAGGGATTCGTGCCCCGGGAGAGGCTAAAAATAATAATAATAATAATAATAATAATAATAATAATTGCATCTTAAAAATATATTAAAATAGCAGTTATTTTAATTGTAATATTATTTTACAATATTACTGTATTTTTTAACAAATAAATGCAGCCTTGGTGGGCATAAGTGACTTACACACCCCAAAATTGTGAATAAAATAAAATAAAAATTTCTTGAATATTATCATGCATATGATTTGGACATAGATGTTTTGTTTTTCAAGTCCCACCAGTCAAAGAAACAGAGAGAAGCAAGAAATAATCAAGAAAGTAGGGATGTGCATCTCATGACTCAGGCTGATACGATACGCATCTCGATGCATAGCCAACGATACGATACATTAAAGATACATATGAAGCAGCTACCGATGCGATACGATACGATTCACCCCTATTACGATGCAGTGCGATCCGATTCGATGCAATGGAGAAAATATTATCACTTTTAATGCCTCGAGGCCTGTTTCATAAAACAAGTTAACCAAATAAGCCAGGTTTATTTCAGTTAGTCTGACTCATTGTCAAATGATTTGGTTCCAAAAAGCAAATGTAACATAGGCATAGATCAAGCTTAGTCACTGTGGCAACTTATGCTGGGAAACTAACCTGGTCTAAAGCAGGCTAACTGTCAGGCTAAGCTAAGCTCCTCTACTGACCAATAGGAACACAATGATATTACCACTGTCTCACATACTATTATTTGCCTTCTTTTTTTTTTTCTTTTTTTTTTAAAGAGTTTCTAGCCATGCAGCCTTTTTCTCTGGTTTTATTACAGCTGTACCTTTTATAGTTTGCAGAACAGATAGCAGCACATTAGAACATTACAATCTAAAATGGCTCTTTAAAGCATTAAAATAACTAAATTAAAAGTTAAAATCACTGAATTAAAAATGAAAATAAATAAAGAAAATGACTACATTTTAACTGCTATAAGAAACACACTAACTAATTTGAGCTTAGTAATTAGTACTGTACTAGCTTACATTTGATTTACCTATTACAATAGTCCACTTACAGTTACTCCTATCATAAAAATACACTTTATTTGTATGTTTAAAAATTTACAAAATACACAATGTCCAAAAACAATTTTTTTAGCAAAATGTATATTTTACTCAGAATTATTGCGCTCCTATTTGATTGTGCTTTCTGTTTAGCGTGCATGCGCGCAGCAGCGCTCGTTGCTCTCACGTGCCTCGCCCACTCCTGACAGCAAAATGGATATGTTTGCATGACTAACATTTACAGAAGAAAAATATACCTGTGACATATAAGTTATGCACTGAGGAAAACACAACGTCTCAAATGCATTAAACAGCACAGATATATTCTCCAGAAGTAGATGCATTTTGGAATCTTTAAGATTACTTACAACAGAACAGCAATGCATTTTATGGACGACCATTTCGTGAACCTAGGAGAGGAGGGAATTCTGACTTTGCTTTTGCAATCTGGCGCTTCTGAATCAGCTACTGTTTTGCTATTAGTTTAAGTATTTGCTATTGACTGTTCAAATGCGGAGTTTTGCGCATCGTGTGTGTGTGTGTGCGCATGTTTATGTGGTTTATGGGGACACAAATTTTATAATAACATAGGTATGACATAGGTATTACAACGAGAAGGTGATTTATGAGGACATTTTCAGTGTCCCCGTAAATCAAAAGGCTTATAAATAATTCAGAATGAGTTTTTTTGAAAATCTAAAAATGCAGAAAGTTTCCTGTGAGGGGTAGGTTTAGTGAAGGGCAAGAGAAAATACGGTTTGTACAGTATAAAAACCATTACGCCTATGGAGAGTCCCCATAAACCATAAAAACAAACCTGTGTGTGTGTGTGTGTGGGTGTGTGGGTGTGTGTGTGTGTGTGCGAGCAAGAGAGAGAGAGAGCGCGAGACACATCACAGTGGAGTCAGCTGTCTTAACCGTGGCTTGTGTGCTGCAAACACATATTCATCACTGTGTCTGTCATGAGACTCTGTTCCCCTTTCGGGCTCGGTCTTTACATTTATTTTGAAAGCTAAAGCTCGCGATTATGGTAAGGGGCGTTACATTTCCGACGAGTGCTTGCGGTGTTCGGCCAATCACAATGCACTGGGTCAGCTGGCCAATCAGAGCAGACTGCGCTTGTCGGAAGGAGGGACTTTGTAGAAAACTAAGCGTTTGAGAGAGGCGGGGCATAGAGGACCTACAATAATGTACAGTATTTGAAAAATAATGTGTTTTTTGAACATTAAAGCATGTCAACATTCTGTTACACCAAATACACAAAATAATGATCTTTAAAAAAGCAGCATATGACCCCTTTAATCCCAGTTTTTTCCGTGGTCTCCGTGGTGTTGTGATGCGTCATACTCACGCAGCAACAGCGGTGATGAGAGAGTGCGCTTGAGAAACAGTTTAGAGAGGAGAAATCAATCTTCTACATATAAAATATTGGTTACAGATTATTGGTCACTTTCTAAATAATAAAAGTATAGCGCATCCACCAGTAATTATATATAAATAAATTGGTTTTTACCAATGCAAATGTTAGAAACGATGCATCGCGATATAAATGCCAACTTGTATCCAATGCACACTTTTTAAACCGATGCATCGTATCGTTAACTTTTTATGCTGATGCACCAAGCAAATCGGGGAATCTTCCCATCCCTACAAGAAAGCATCAAGCAAGTGCTCATTTAAACTGACTACATCCTCCATGCAGAAAGTCGATCGGTAGCAATAAATTCAATGTCTTTCACCAGCCCATCAAAGACTGAAAGCCCTGGACCTCAGAGGTAAAAAGGAAAACCAATCAACAAAGCCCTGGATCCAGGCCTCCCGTGCACTTACCATGTGGGCTAGCAAAGTTGGAGGTCTGCCCCATAGAAATGCCCAGAGAGGAAGGAGAAGGGGTGGGCCCAAAGGGAGAAGGTGCTCGCAGTGCTACGCCAGGGGAATTGGCTGCGTGGATGTTTCCTGCACACAATTAACCGATCAGTGGCCTCATCAACATCTAACAAGAGCTTGTCACTCCCGTTCCTTCATGCTCACTTTCACACACGCTGCAGCTAAAGCGGAACAGGAGCTGCAGACCCCGAATGGAGATGGTCAAACATATGTATGACTGTGGGCAAGTTTCTTTGTGAGGTTGCACGGTAATGGTGCAATCAAACACAGACTGACCGGTAAAAGCATGCATACCAACAGACAGGAAGAGCTGGTGGGATGCTTTTGCAATGAGTGGGACACCAATGAGAAAATGCTTCCTCTCCTTTTGTTTCCCTGACTCCATGGTGGTATTGACCAGAACGGCACAGGCAGCAAAATGACAAGATTTGACAAGATAGAAACGCATATTTATTTACCTGGAGACTGTGTTGTTATCATGGATGGTGATGGAGGCACATGGTACGGGTTGGGGGGCGATGTGAGGGGTGGATAAACCCCTCTGCCTGGAGGCTGCGTCATGAAGGTGTCATCCATGCTTATCGGGGAGGGAGGGTTGTCGTCCTCGTTGACCGAGCGTCTGCGGGCATCTTGGTTACTATCCACAAACATGTTCAAGAAAGTCTGCGGAAAATCATGGAAAAAGTGACAATTACGGCCATGCACACCTCTACTGCAGCGGTTAAATGGACAGTCCAAAGAAAAATTAATTTGTCATAATTTACTCACCCTCAAGTTATGTTTGCAAAGAAACCGTTTTGATTTGAACCCCTTGATTACCATTGAATGAAAAAAAAATAGGCCTATGATGGAATCAGTGGGAATCAAAACTATTTTGTTACTAAAATTCTTCATAATATCTTCTTTTATGTTCCATGGAATAAAGCAAATCAAGTACAATACAAGTTTGGAATGACATGAGCGTGAGTAGATGATGACAGAATTTGCTTTTTGGGTGACTATCCCTTTAATATGTTTAATATTTTTGATCCACCCACCTTCAGTCCAGGGGCAGGATAGAAACCTTCAACTATCTTGGTATTGTCAAAAAGACTATAGGCCCCATCACGGATAGCCACCACACCTCTGCTACGGCAGTAGATGTCAATGCAGTACATGTTGCGGAAGGCCAGACGGATGTGAGTGGGTGACTGAGGCAGGATGGAGAAGCACTGGTATGCTGTATTGGTCCTTTGGGTGAGACCCAGCATAGGCACTGTGGGTAGCTTGTTGATGGCATTTAGAGGAGCTTGAGTGTCTGAGAGGACCTGAGAACAGACAAGTATGTGAGAATACCACCAGCAGCTGCTAATGAATAGCGATATATTTTCAATATCTATGGAAGCATATAGGTAGCGAAATTCAATTTAAAATACAATATGCAAAATGGCAATGCAATATTCAAAATGGCATTGTATTTCTGTATTTAAATGTACATTTTTCATTACCCATACATGCAAAGTTTGGTGCAAAAGTAAAATGAAAATTAAATTATATAATTTACATTTGCCATTTCCAACAGTAGTCTTAATATGTAAATTGCATGCACATTTGAACGCTTTATAAGTTGCGAAATGAAAATGTATAACACAAATTGATTTCATATGTGTAACATGTTCAAGCAGAAATGGAAGCAAAATGATCATTTAAATGCTATTTGTCCTAAATGCATTTAGACTAACAGTTAGAACACTAGAACATTGCATTTTCATCATGACGATGTGGGATATTTGTAGCAAAATTCAATTTGAAAATGCATTCCGAGCTGACCACGCCCACCCTCCGTCAATCATTGCTTCAAGGCAGGGATTGGCGGAAGCGTGGTACGTTTGGATCGTTTGAAACATGGCGGCTGGAGATCTGATAAGATCGTTGAATTCACTGGCAAATGAAGTGGAGCGTGAACAGAGAAATATATGAAGCGTATTCCATTCTAAAATCAAACGTTCGAATGACCGACCGACCGATCGAACTGCTACCGAACGTCTACCGAACATCTTGAGCTTTGAGCATCTTACACTGCGGGTGATCCACGTGATGCCAGCGTCTTGAAATTAGCTGGTGTTTAAACATTTAAGGAGCCAAGCTGCTGTGTAAAGACTATAAATGGACATTACAAGCATTACAATAATGATAAATTAATTATACAAAAAATTGTTTGAAATTCAGACTTCGAGTTTTTGAACAGAAGTCCTGAATGACTGTTATTAAAGGTAATTTAATGAATTTTATTGATTTTCAATGCCCCGCAGAAACCCTGCCTTTGTTGGAAATGTAAATAAATTATTTAAATTATGTTTGATTATGTTATAACACTTTTCAGTAACAATACTTCAAATGCAATTGCAAATCCTGCATTACCGTTTGCATTTTCGCTTTTGCGAACGCACAGTGACTGCCAAATTTCAAATGAAAAACCAAAGTCCATTTGCAACTGTATTTCCCATGTCTTAGGAGTTGCGAGCCTGTCATATTTAAATAGCAAAATTAATTACCACGTCTGCTTTTTCACTCTCGCTGCGTCGCGCATGTAACCTGCCAAAACTCAAATGGAATCGCAATTCCTTTTGCATTTGAATTTCCGACATCTACATGGAAAGCTGCCAATCATCGTCAGGGGCGGGACTATACTATGGGGCGTGTTTGTATTGGGAGGTGACGTCACTCACAGACGACCGTGCCGAATGCTCTGATCAATGGAGGT